AAAAAAGGGGGGCACACAAATTTGCATTTTTCTCGGTTATTTGAAGAGATACGTCAAAAGCGAATACGGAATCGTAATCCTGAGGAAATTTCGCGTGAAATGACACCCAACACAATTTTTTTTATAAATTTTATTATTAGTGTGTTAAAAAAACTGAAATATCGTAAATTTGATAATTCGATAATTTGAAAAATCGAAAAACTGAGGAATCAAATAATTCTAAGGTCGAGAAATCAAAAAGTATAAAAATCGAAAATTCAGAAACGCCGAAAATCGAAAATCAAAAATCTGAAATATCGGAAAATTGCAAAATTGCAAAACCGAAAACTTAAAATGTCCAAAAACGGAAAAATCAGGAAGTCCACACATCGAAAAATCGAATGGAAAAATTGAAAAATCGAAAAATACCTAGAAAAATCAAAATAGCGACAAATCCCTAAACTGAAATATCGAAAAATTGATAAATTAATAAATTGAAAAATCGAAAAACTGGAAATTCGAGAAATCGAGACGTCGACTAATCGAAACAATGAAGTCAAAAAATCGAGAAATTGGAAAATCAAAATATCGATAAATCGAAAAATTGAAATACATAAAATTCGAAAAGTTAAAAAAAAACGAGAAACGGAAAAATCGAATAATGGCGAAATCGAAAATTTAGGAACGCTAAAACTTGAAAAATTGAAAATCAAAAATCTGAAATATCGGAAAATTGAGAAATCAAAAAAGAAAAAATTGAGAAACTGAAGAATGCAACTGGAAAATCCCAAAATTGAAATACCGAAAAACTGATAAATCGAAAGTTGAAAAATCGAAAATTCGGAAAATCTAAAATTTAAAATGTCGAAAAATTAAAACCTCGGGAAATCCAAATATCAAAAAATCAAAAATCGAAAAATTGAAAAAAAAAAATTGGAAAACTAAAAGTCGAGAAAAGTCAAAATAGCGAGAAAAATCGATCAATTGAGAAATCGAACAATAAAAAATCGAGAATTCGAAGATTTAAATAAAAAGAATCGAAAAATTGAAAAACCGGAAAATTCAAAAATCAAATAACTGAAAAACTCTTTTTAGATATTGTTATACAATTTTGATTTTTTTTTTAAATCTCGATGTCTCATATAAAATTCAACAGGGATATGGTCAGTACTTTTGGATATTATCTGGCTAATAAAAATCGACACAGACAGATAGGCAGACAGACGGAAACGGCAGACCTATTTTTCGTACTGTATAGGTCATGAAACGTCGAAAAAACATAAAAGTAGCCAGTCACCCGATGGACTCGATTCCAATACTTTCTTAACTTACGCTCGGGAAGTTAAAACTGCAAAACTTCAGAAAAACTATTTTTCTTCGGTATTCTAGATCTACAAAAAAAACTTTTTATAAATATATTGGGTACTGTTTTTTCCCGAACTTTAGGAAAATTAGAAGAATCACTTCTGAGTTCTTAGATAATCAATAAAATACGAGTATATCGGTTAATGAAACATTTTCAGTAAGTTATTTATAATTTTTGGAAACAATGTTATTAGCAGAGCTGTTCAATGTACTCAAAAAAAGTACTTGAAGTACCAAGTACAAAGTACTACTTGAAATAGTGTTCAAGTAAAGTACCAAGTACTTACTTTCAGCAAGAGTATTTCAAGTATCAAGTACTTTTCAGATGTACTTGAAGTACAAGCCAAGTACATTACTTCAAGTACTTACGAGTACTTGAAGTACTGGAGGTATACTTCAAGTACTTTCTAATTATTTGAAATACTGTAGAATTAGATAACTTTTCATGTTTTTTTAAAAAAGCTTAATATATTTTAGAACTGAATTTTTTAATACTCAAAATTTAAGTATACAATAATACATATTTCGCCACATAAAAAATTGCATAAGCATCAACTTAAATGCAGAATGGTAGCTCACTTATTAATAATACTATGTTATTTATAAACAATATTCTTTTGAAATACTTTTACATCTTTCTGTTGACACAATGCCTTCGACAAAATTAACGTCTATTTCTAATTTAAAATTTAAAATAAAATACATGACGGCATTGTCTATGTATGCTTACTATTAATTTATAACAAAAACATCGGCGCTGTATGGTATTTTCTCAGGCTTCTGTTGCTTTTTTTTTAATATTTTGAATTTTGGTTCACCACCAAAACGTTCTGATTTTTTAATAAAGTTGTGTTAAAAATATATGAATTTTATGAACCGGTTCCGTGTTTAAGTTTGTGGGTAGTTTACAGCACCCTTAATCATTACCCATTGTGAAAGTGCACAGGGCCGGATTTGTGAAACTGAAATTTTTCAGAAAAAAATGTTAAGAGCAGTGCGATACATATACATGCTCGTGACATAAAAATGTTTAAGTCACTATGTTGCATTTTCAAAAAAAACGTATCAATTTTTTAAATAAAAAATAAAATGCCTAAAACGAGAGTCCATTTTCAGCGAAAACTATAACTCTTGAAAAATATCAAGGTGATCAAAGTAATTAGTCGTTTTTTACTTTTGCGGTTATCAAAAATGCTGAGAATTTTCTTGGAACGAATGCCCCATATTCCTGAATATATCTGTCTACCACTTACGTATTTACTATTCTAAAAATTATTAAATCAACCTAAATACTACAGTGACTAAATAGTAAACACTAATCACTACAATGTTTGTCTAACTAAGTAGGTAACTTTACACTGACAAATCATAAATAATAGGTTCGTAATGCTGTTCCGTCCATTTATACAAAATTTTGTTCCTCTAATGCCACAATACTTTCAGAATTTTCCTTTACATTTTCGATTGGCTTATTTTTTATTTTTACCTGAAAACCCAAAGAAGACGGTATTAGTAACTGATAACTACAATGACTTCAGGGAATGCCTAACAACGGCTTTTGCGAAAATTCAGGTAAATATGTACTAAATTTATTATTGTTAAAATATTTCGTAGGGGTGTATTTATCTAGGCAATTATACTAACTAATCGCGAATTTCATTAACTTTGTATTTTTTTATAATGTGAATATGTATTTTGTTCCATTTACGGAAGCGGCCACTGACCCTTTTGGGTATTTTTACCTGATATTGTAAATACAAATGTAAATTCAGTACTTCTGTAACCGTACTGTATTTAAACATCGAAACCGAACACTGTCTATTATTTCGCACACAACAAAACAAAGGTCCTTCGAGCAATATCAAAGTACAATTCGGTACTCATCAAAACCATACAATCATGGTCGTATCAACTGGATTACAAAAAACATTGGTACTACGAGCCGAGTTTCACAAAACATATTTCATTTTGAACAATATTGGGTTTATGTAATAAGCGATGCAATGTAATACGTAAAGTTGTTATACTGTAATAAATAAAATCCGCACAGGAAAGATAAATTACACTAATTAGTGTGACTTTTAAAATCATTGTTTTTCTGCATTACGTCTTTTTAAATTGTTGGTGTTCAAATAATTCATACAATTTAACAGATTATTTGAAACTGTAATGTGAGAAAATATAAGTAGTAATAACAAACTAAGTTTATATGACTGAACCATGTATAAACAAAAAAAGAAAATTTGGTAAAAAACGAGTGTCTAACATGATAAAGAAAATTAAACTGCAAAATATTTAACATAAAATTGTGTTTAAATTCTACGAGGAAGACGCGAATATGAAAGTCTGTACCTGCCATCAGCTATTGCTATTGTAATAAAAGGGATTATCCCCCCCGAGTTCTCCGCCCTGACCAGGCTTCTTACTGACAAATACACGGCGGGGTTAAGAAACTAATGAAAGAATAAATATCTTTTTGAACGAGTACTGAATCATTTCTCAAATATTTTCAAATCCGACCTTGCACTTTAACAGGTACGTCAACAAACCCGATTCCCTTTGGGTACCGGGAAGGTACTGAAAAACTACCCGCAAAGTTAAGTTCCAGACCAAAATACAAAAAAGACAAAATTCATATATTCACAAGTTTACATTGCTAAAATTTTACACAGATCTCCGACCCTTCTGCTGTCGTCATCCACTCTCAAATGACGTATTTATGACATTAATTTTCTTACCTACCTATCTATCGGCATTATGCAAGTACCTATGAAATGTACGTCATATTGTGGATAAGATATCCACTATCCACAATCACAGATCAAAATATAACCTCACAGGAAACAAACACGATTTTACTATAAAAATACACCTAATCAAATAATTGAATTAATAACTTCAAGTATTTAACAGACCCTATTTTGAGATGTGAAAACTTCGTAAAATATAGACTAAAGTATTTGAAATTTCCACTTTCATACTTCAAGTAATTCAAGAGTATTTAAAATACTGAGTGAAGTACTTGGAGTAAAGTACTTGGCAAAATCAAGTACTAAACTCAAGTACATTTTAGAAATACTTCAAGTACCAAGTACCAAGTACCTAAATATAAAAGTACTTCAAGTAAAGTACTTGAAGTACTTAAAATACTTGAAGTATTACTTCAAGTACTTTTACTTGAAGTACTGAACAGCTCTGGTTATTAGTAATCCCAAAACAATGCTGTCAATCGCAGACCGAAATGACGTCATCAATTTTTTGGAAGAGATAAAGAAAAACAACTTGTTTTTTGAAGATTCTGTAAATAATAGACGTGATGAGGTAGGGAAGTCAATCAAAATGTGTTACAAATATTAAATATTCAAATATAAAACAAAGTAAACTAAAATTTGGGGCCAAACAACACGGATACTTTTAGGAAGTAATTATGTGTCATTAACTCCGTCTGCATTATTTAGTTAAACAATAGGGCTCCTATGAACAAAAGTAGGGTATTGATTAAAACACTAATTGAGTAGGGTTTTTTAGTCATTAGTAAAACTAAACAGACGTCACAACATCAATAATACTCCACTATAATTTATTAATCGCCAGAAATATGAGGAAACATGACATTATTTAAACAATATGAACTAACCAACTTTGGCATTACTTACCCTCTGCCATACTTGAACCATTAACTGCCACAATTAACCAAAAAACAACGTTAAAAGTAAAATTTATACATCCAAATTCCGTTTTGTTTATATTTTAAACAACTTGAACACTACAAACACAACTACATAACCTCAAAATTTTTGAAGCGCTTGACCTTGAGAACCTTGATAAGGAATGCACCTGGTGGTGCCAAGATGCTCAAATTAGTTAACAAGATTAACAAAAATAATCAGTCTTTTTTTTTTCGTATCCGCTTGTCCCAGAAAAAGCGCATTGATATAAGTGTCTCGGAAAAACTTCCATGAATAGATAGCAATAATTGCACTAAACTAACCCGTACATGCATTCATCGATCATAAATAAGCTCTAAAAATTAAATTCTCACATAATTGTGTTTTTCTCGCTCTGTAAAAGTTAATCGAAACTAAATAATTTTCGCGCATAAATTTAAATTTGACAGTTGGCGTTGCAGCAGCCGGCGCGTGATGGCAGCACCCGTCCCATTTTAAAAAATAGGTCTAGTTTTTTCAAACATGGCTTACAGATTTGTGTACCGCGTTCGCAGTTTTTATTGATTCCACGTTTAAACCTCGATAAGTATAACAAAGAAAGCTCGCCGTAACGTATTTTTCTAATTAAGCTTTCAACCGCCCTCGATCGTGCTAAAAATTGGTGTAATCCGTGACCGGAGGATTTTAACCATTTCTCCGCAGACGTTAAAGGTGAGTCCGTTATTTTTCCAAAAAAAACCTCTCGTTCGTCTATCACACTCCAAGCTCCGTTTGATTGGTGACATTAAAGTAGGTAGCAAGAGCTAGACTCGCCACCAAGCCGAAACTCCTTATTTGGACGATGATTCATGTATAGTTGCTCTAATTGCTGTAACGGTCTCCAAACTTCAATTCAATCATTCCAACAATGGAAGACGAAGAATACAAAAAGCTCCCCATCGAGGAGCGCTGCGTGCACAAACTGTGGCAGGCCCGCAAGAACGGGTACGAGGAAGTGGCCAAGACCTTCCGACAGCTGGACGACGACAAGTCCCCGGAGTTCGGCAAGTACCTGGGGCTAGTGAAGAAGTTCGTCGTTGACAGTCACGCCGTCTGTCAGGAGAAGGGCCTGGAGGCCACGCTAGCGTTCGTGGAGAACTACGCCAACGCCGGCAAGACCGTGGGAGAGGTCATCACCGGAGTGGTGTCAAAATGCGTGGCGGCCCCCAAGACCCAGACCCGGGAGCTGGCGGTGCAGCTGATACTCATGTACATAGAGATAGAGAAAGGGGAGGCGGTGATGGAGGAGCTGCTCAAGGGGATGGAGCAGAAGAACCCCAAAATCGTGGCGGCTTGTGTGAGTGCAAGCACGACGGCGCTGAGGGAGTTCGGGCCCAAGATTGTGAATGTGAAGCCTTTGATTAAAAGGATCTCGGCGTTGTGTTCGGATAGGGATAAGACTGTGAGGGATGAGGCGAGGAGCATGGTCGTGGAGATTTATAGGTGGATTGGAGGGGCCTTGAGGTGAGTTTCTGTTTTTAGAAATTTTTAATTAACCTTGTGGTGCTCAGTTTCCTTGTTTGTGTGCTGTGTGATGGAAAGTTATGCATTTATGATCTAATCGCTAATCTTATCAGTGACTGCATTTTTATTTCTGGTATTAGTAATGTTTGGAATACAATAGCGGAGCGATAAATTGAGTTGATCTAGTTAGAATTTTAATTGAATAAAGTTCTTGTTAACTGGAGTTTATTACTTTAATTATATGGATAAATAGAAAGTTGTAAAGTTGGTTTTGAGGGTTATTGTGAATTTTAGAAGTTTTGGCAATTTCCTATGATTAGATGTTATTACGTCATACTGAATCACATAAAACGAAATATTAAATGAGAATAAGAGATGGCCAACAAAAATCAATATCAAATTGATCTCAGGAGAGTTGCTGTAATGTGGGGGTTGTGGTTCTCAGGAATTAAACTGAATAAATAAATAATAAGTTTCTTGTGGAAGGTCAGGAAAGGGGTTATATTGAGATTTTGTTGTTGTTTTCTATGATATTTATTATTATTATTAATGTGTGGATTTTTTTATATAACTTATGATTATTATATAATCTTATTTCATAAAGTTTTTGTTCCCTAGATACAATTTAAAAAAATAAATCTCCAATAAGTGTTTTTACCATATAAAAAATACCGAGTTCATAACAGCACATTATAGATTAAGTTTTTGAAATTTTCTAAATTTCTAGAAACTGAAGAAAAGTTTAAAAAAACTATGTTTAGTTTGACAAAAAGCAGTGATTTAGAACAGTGAAAAGACTAAATCACACTACCAATTCAAAAAATCAACGAATGATATACAGGGTGAGTCACTAATTGCGCGTTTGTCGTTATCTCATTAATTATTATTAGAAAATTTTTCAAAAACAAAACACCTTAATTCCCAAGTTTCGCTTTAATTATTTAAAAAAAAAAAAGGAACCCGAGATACTGTAAATGGTAAATTAAAAACTTGAAAAATAGTCAAAGACTTGAAGTTCGAGGAGCCGAAAAATTAAAAATCGAAAAACGAAAAATTCCAAGATTGCAAATCGAAACATTGGAGAGACGAAAATTTTTAAAAATAAAGAAAAAGAAAAAAACAGAAATTGTGATTCCAAAAAATTGTAAAATCGAAGGAAAAGGAAGAACGAAAAATTGCGGTATCAAAAAATAGAAAAATTGAAAAAATTAAAATCGAGTAAATGAAAAATTGTAAATTAAGAACTTGAAAAGTAAATATTAAGAACTTGAAGAATGAAAAAATAAAGACAATGAAATAGCAAAAAATTCTGCTAATCAAAAAATGGAAAAACTGGACAATTAAAAATTTACGAAACGAAAAATCAAAAAAAATAAAAATCGAAAAGCTAAAAATTGGAAAAGGAAAAATAAAAATTGATCAATAGAAGAAAATGAAAAACCGGAAAATTGTGTTATCAAAAAATCGAAAATTTAAAAATCGAGAAAATGAAAAATCAAAGATTGAAAATTTGAAGGATTGAATAAATGAAAAATTATAGAATCGAAAGGAATATTGAGAAAATAAAGGAAATGATAAAACAGAAAATTCTAATATAAAATAGAGAAAATAAAAATTAAACAATCGGGAGAATGAAAAATAAAAATCAAGAACTTGAAAAATTGAGGAAACGAAAAATTGAAAAATCGAAGAATTGAAAAATTGAAACATTTGTTCGAGACATTGAAAAATCGAAAGTTGAAAAAATTAAGCCAATGAAAAATCGAGAAAATGAAAAATTATAAATTAGAACTAGAAAAACTGAAGAAACGAAAAATCAAAAAAAAAAATGAAAAATTGAAAAAATGAAAATTCAAAGATTGAAAATTTGAAGGATTGAATAAACGAAAAATTATAAAATCGAAGGGAATATTGAGAAAATAAAGGTAATGAAAGAACAGAAAATTGTAATATAAAATCGAGAAAATAAAAATTAAACAATCGGGAAAATGAAAAATAAAAATCAAGAACTTGAAAAATTGAGGAAACGAAAAATTGAAAAATAAACACTGGGAAAGCGAAAAATCGAAGAATTGAAAAATTGAAACATTTGGTCGAGACATTGAAAAATTGAAAGTTGAAAAAACAAAAATTACGAAACCGAAACATTGAAAAATGAAGAATTTGAAAAAATAAAGACAATGAAAATCAAAAAATTCTAATATCAAAAAAAATGGCAAAAATGAAAAATCGAGAAATGTAAAATTATAAATTAGAACTAGAAAAACTGAAGAAACGAAAAAGCGAAAATTAAAGAAAATGACAACTCAAAGATTGAAAATTTGAAGGAAAAGTTATAAAATCGAGAAAATAAAAATTAAACAATCGGGAGAATGAAAAATAAAAATCAAGAACTTGAAAAATTGAGGAAACGAAAAATTAAAAAATCGAAACATAAAAATTGAGAAATCGAAAAATTGAAAATTTTGGAAGGCGAGACATTGAAAAATTGAAAAAATGAAAAGTTGAAAAAACAAAAAATTAGGAAATCAAAACATTGAAAAATTGAAAAAATACAAACAATTAAAAAAAGCAAAAAATTAAAAAGTAAAAATCAAAAACTTGAAGAATTGAGGAAACGAAAAATTGAAAAACTAAAACATCGAAAAAGGAAAAATTGAAAATAATGGAAGTCGGGAAATTGAACAATTAAAGAAAATGAAAAACCGAAAAAAAAATGAAAAATAAAAATCAAAAAAGGAAAAATTGAAAATAATGAAAGTCGAGAAATTAAAAATTGAACCATTAAAGAAAATTAAAAACCAAAAAATTCTGATATCAAAAAATCGAAGAATTAAAAACCGGAGATTTTTTTTTTAATTACAAAAACGAAATACCACCAGCCCTAGATTCTTTGATTTTTTTTTTTTTTTGAAAAACGAAATATGTCCCTAAAATTTTAGTTAATTTTTTCAAAAAGACACTCTGTGTTTTGAGATTTTTTTCAAACCTTCAAAATCAAACCAGCTGAGACCACCAAGATACATATCAAATTTTTCAAAAAAAAAAAACGAAACGCCAGGGGCTTCTTTTTGATAAAAAAAACCTCTGGGATCCCATTCTTAAAAAAAAAAACACGAAATACTCCCAACATTTTTTTACACACATTCTCCTGAGATACTTTCACTTATTTTTTCAAAAACGAACCAAAGACCCCCAAAATTGTTATTAAATTATTAAAAAAAAAAAAACGCAATGGCCTGAGATTTTTTTCAAACTTAAAAAAAAACAACTTTTTTTTATTCCTTCTAGAAAAGATACTCTGGGCTTTGAGATACAAAACAAAAATCAAAAACCAGAGTTCTTTCAAGACCACACTTATTATTATTTATAACCATACAGGGTATTATATTCATATTCTATTTTTTGTTTTCTTTCTTTTTGTGAAGCATTTTCTATATTTAAAGTTGGTAGTTACTGCGATTTTTTACTTTTTTAAGTGACTCATCGACACGCTAAAAGAACGAAAACAAAAAATAGAGTAAGATACAGTAATAAAAAATTTGATTTTTATCCTTCCACTGCCAAAAAATTAAAAAAAAAATGGAATAACCTGGCAACGTCGCGTCAGAATTTCAAAAATAAACTAATAATAATTTGTGTATTATCCCTCAAAAATACAACACTGTAGAGTTAAATATAATTTCAGAGTAAGCCCTCAAAGAGCCGTGCAACTTTTGTCTTAGACTTTTTTTATCTCTGACAATTAATTACATATAGAGGCCGCACGCTTTGTGACTCACCCTGTATATAATAAATGTTGCTTTGTACATTTCAAAATCAATGCGTTTATTTATCCCCACCAAAAAGTTGGTGACGTCAATTTATTTAAAAACTCTGTAGATAAATTTTCAGGAAATAATACGTTCCATTATAATCGCAGTAGGCTCACAACAGTGACGTCACGGTGCCGTTGCAGCTACGTCATCGCGAAATGCGGTGCTTGAAAATGACCTTGAACTAAAATAAAACCAAGTCGTTTAAAATTATCGTACTTTCACCGTTATCGATTCGTGAACTCTAGCCAAAATTGTGACATAATTGTGTCTGTTTACGTGGACGACAAACAATTTCCAGTGTTTACACCTGGATCTTTTTTACCTTTTCTCATTAATACTTTTTTTATATAAATATATTGTGGAAATAAAAGAACCTTTTGAATTTTGATCAATTTGTCTAAAAAAAACCTAACTTTTCTTCTGCCTCATCCAGGTCCCAATTAAACAACCTAAAGCCCGTGCAAATAACCGAACTCGAAACCGAATTTGCCAAAGTCGAAGGCCAAAAGGCGCACCCTCAACGCTACATCAAATCCGAACAACAAAAGCAATCAATCCCATCAGCTGTAACAGAAGAAGTAGACGGAGGTAAATGTCGCCATTTTAATAATCGCCCAGTTTTCATGCATCGCCGAGCGTAAATTTCATTAAAAATGACATCACCTTGCTCAGGCGAGTCCGACGATGATCAAGAGGAGGACGAGTCGCCCGAGATGGACCCGTACGACCTGGCGGATCCCGTCGACATCCTCTCCCAGCTCCCGAAAGACTTCTACGAGAAAATCGAGGCGAAGAAATGGCAAGAGCGCAAGGAGGCGCTGGAAACCGTCGAGAAACTCGTCAAAACGCCCAAGCTCCAGAACGGCGACTACGCGGACCTCGTCAGGGCGCTGAAGAAAGTCATCGAGAAGGACAGCAACGTGGTAGTGGTGGCGCTGGCCGGCAGGTGTCTGACGGGGGTGGCGACAGGCCTGAAGAAGCGCTTCCAGCCGTACGCGAACGCCTGCATCCCCTCGCTGCTGGAGAAGTTCAAGGAGAAGAAGCAGAACGTCGTCAGTGCCATAAAAGAAGCGATTGATGTTATTTATTTAGCGGTGAGTGGGGCGTAGCGGAGAAGGTTAAGGGTGGTAATTATTTGTGGGGTTTTTCAGACTAGTTTAGAGGCTGTCTTAGACGATATTATAGAAGCTTTAGGTAATAAAAATCCATCTGTCAAAGCCGAGACGTCGTTTTTCTTGGCGAGGGCGTTCACTAAGACGCAGCCGAGTGTTATAAATAAGAAAATTCTGAAGGCGCTGTGTGCTCCATTACTGAAAAATATTAACGAGTCAGGTCAGTATTAAAAATTGTCTTACTACCAAAGTAGTTTAATTTCAGCAGGAAAAAAAACACATTTATACAGTAACGCATAATTAAAATTCTGCAAGACAATTCTTGAGTTTGGTTAAAAACTGCCATTATACATTGATTCAGGCATCTCAAGTCTAAAATTGTTAGTAAAACAATAAAATTGTGGATACAAATCTTTACCAGATGACATATGTCAAAACAAAAGCTTCCTCTAGTGGGCCATGGATTTAATTTTTTCAAAACTGTGGTGGCAGCACTGTTATTTTCCATTAAAGTTATCTGTCATTTGTGTTGTCAGTGTAATAAAAAAATGCTTCTAATGCAAAAATGTGTAAAATTATGCGGGTAATTTCCCATAACCTCAATTCTGGTTTATCAAGATTTTCTGTTTTCTTTTGAAATGCGAATTATTTCAAAATACCACGCAAATATTCGATATTTGGAGGGAAATTTTCATAATATAGAAGTTATGAGTCAGTGTAATAAAAAAAAGGTTAGTCTTAAGTGCATAGCGATGATTAATTTGTTATAATATCAAAATAATAATAAATAACGATTGTCACGCGAGGCTTGTCAGGAGTCACGCGAGGTGCGTGGGGGTGGCGTGACGTTGGGCAATAATAACAGAACAATGAGTACGCTGTAATGCTAGAATGGGTTCATTCCGTCATTAATGTCATCAATGCATACCATTACTTGGGTATGGTTCCCGCAATGGTAGAATTATTGCCCGAACGTCTATAATTTTCTTGAATCCATGAATTTTATTTTTTATTTTCTACCAGATCCCACAGTCCGAGACTCGGCCGCCGAAGCCCTAGGAACCTTAATGAAACTAGTCGGCGAAAAAGCCGTAGGCCCCTTCTTAGTAGAACTAGAAAAAGACGCCCTGAAAATGGCCAAAATCAAAGAGTGCTGTGAAAAAGCCGTGATAACGATAAAAATCGTGGCTCCCAAGAAGGAAAGACCCACGACGGCGCCGGCTAAGCCGCCCCCGAAAGCCAAAGCCGCGACGGCAGCGCCAAAGTCGGCCCCCACGGCCGCCACCAAATCCAACGCCCCCAAGAAAAAGGCGGGAACGGTGAATTCGGCCACGGTCGTGCGACCCAAAGGCAAGAACGCCCCCAAGAAACCGACCGAGAAAGAACTCAGCGACGAAGAAGTCGACGAAATCTTGGCCAACATAATTCCGACGAACGTCGTCTCGGAAATGTCGGACGTCAATTACAAAACGCGGTAAGTGGTAAAGTCGCTTGAAACGCTAGATTCTAAAACGTTTGTAGGTTGGCAGCGGTCGACCAGTATCTAAAAAGCTTAAAAACGTTGAGTCCGAGCGACCTGCCGGTTCAGGCTCTGGTGAAGTGTTTGAGCCGAAAACCGGGACTAAAAGACACCAATTTTCAAGTATTGCAAATAAAGTTAGAAATTATTAAGTATCTGGCGGAGAACGGTAATTTTTCCACCACGACGGCGAATATCTGCGTCAACGACATAATGGAGAAGTTCGGCGACCAAAAAAACGGACACTTGGTTCAGGAAACCATGACGGCTATAGCTGAGGCCACCAGTTTAGCGCTGATTTCGTCGATCGCGGTTGATTTTGCGCTGAATCAAAAAAATCCCAAAGTGATTACGGAAATGTTCACTTGGCTGTCAAGCGCTATCAAAGATTTCGGTTTTAAGTAAGTCGGGTTCACAGTTAGCGAAAAAAATTAACCAGTGATGAATTGTAGCGATTTAAATACGAAACTGTTGATTGAGAGTGGAAAGAAGGCTTTAGCTTCGAGCAACCCAGGAGTGCGGCAAGCCGCCATCACTTTCTTCGGAGTCGTGTACCTCTACGTCCAGAATCCGTTGTACAGTTTCTTCGACAATGAAAAGCCGGCTATAAGAGACCAACTTACCGCGGAATTCGATAAACAGCAAGGAGTGAAGCCCCCAGTGCCCACGAAAGGTTTGTAAATACCCATTTACCAAAGTCTCCGCAACAAAAAGTAGTTCCTAAAGCCAATTAAAAATTCAATCTAGTTTCTTTACATTTAAAAATGTGTGTACGTCAAGATAACACAAACTAACGAACCGTATTAATACACAAGAACACAAAAAACGGACTAGCATGAGTTAAAATACTTCAGGACGTAATTAACTGTCATTTTGAAAATGCGTTCGAAAAGCGTAGGAATTTGAAGTTTGTCCGTTGCCAACATAAAACACCCAAAAAGTAAAATTTTAGTAGCAACCAGTTCGGTATTTTGTTGCTGCAAGGTTTTAGTAACAACTCACTAGCCGGGAAATATATTTTGTTCAAAGTTGGCTGCAGAAACTCGAAAATCGTCGTATTCCCAGTTGGCTGTCGTATCAATTTCAAGTTTTCAGGTCTCCCTAAATGCGCGAGCAGCAACAGCCTCGACAACCTCGACGAAGACGAAGCTCCGGGTGGCGGCGAACCCGTCAACGTCCAAGACCTGATCCCCCGCGTCGACATCAGCGGCCAAATCACCGAACCCCTACTCAACGAGCTCGAAGACAAGAACTGGAAAGTCCGCACCGAAGCCATCACCAAAATCAACCAAATCATCCAAGAAGCCCACAGTATTAAACCCAACTTGGGTGACCTCCCGCAAGCTCTCAACCGCCGGCTGGCCGACAGTAACAAACAGGTGGCCCAAACGGCCCTCAGCACTTGTCAGAGCATCGCCAAAGCCATGGGCCCGCCGTCCAAGCAGTACATCAAGGTCTTTTTCCCGTTCTTTTTGCGCTGCTGGGGCGACAATAAACCGCAGTTGCGGACCGCCGCCAAGGAAACCATCGACGCGTACGTGGAACAGAGCGGCGGCTACAAGGAGTTCTTCGAGAACGAGATGATCGCCGACGGGCTCAAGATCGGGACGCAGCAGCTGAAGATCGAGCTGTGGGAGTGGCTGGCGGAGATCTTGCCTAAAAGTGAGTGTGGTTTTGGGTGAGAGGGCACTAGGTTGTTTTGTGTAGTTCCAGTGAAGAGTATTCCCAAGGAGGAGGTGGTCATATGCATTCCAATTTTGTACGTCCATTTAGAGGATAGGACTTTTGATATTAGGTCGAGTTCGCAGAAGGCTATATTGGGGGTGATGATGCACGTGGGGTACGACTGTATGGCGAAGCATTTGGAGAAGTTGAAGCCGGGCTCGCAGAGTGAGGTTAGGAAGAAGCTGGAGAACGAAAGGGGGAAATTGCCGGCTCCGGTGACGAAAAAAGCGGCGGAGAAGGAGGAGAAGACGGTGCGAGGGACGAAACCGGTCGCTAACGCGAAGAATGCTGTCAAACCAAAAGTGAGTCAATTGACGCCTTATAACTCCAAAAAAAAATTTTTTTTTTTTTGCAAAGGGGAATGCATCCAACGCCAAAGCGGCCGCCGCAACCACCAAAAACAAGAAAGAAGAAGACATCGACACATCGCCTCTCCTTGTTGTTAATAACATGAAACACCAAAGGACGATTGATGAGTCGAAATTGAAAGTGCTTAAGTGGAACTTCACCACGCCCCGAGAGGAGTTCGTTGATCTTCTGCGAGATCAAATGAGCGCTGCCAACGTTAATAAAAACTTAATATCGAACATGTTTCACACCGATTTTGGGTACGACTTTTCAGTTATTTTTTAACACCCTCTGAACGTAATCTTCAGGTATCACATAAAAGCTCTCGAATCTTTGATGGACGACTTAAACGACAACGCTTCGGCTTTAGTGGCAAACCTCGACTTAATTTTAAAATGGCTGACTTTACGCTTTTTCGACACCAACCCGTCGGTAGTTTTCAAAGGCCTAGAATATCTGCATTCCGTTTTTAACACGTTGACGGAAATGAACTACAAAATGCTCGAAAGTGAAGCGTCGTCGTTCCTTCCGTATTTAGTCATGAAGGTGAGTTTTCGCGAAAAATTAAAAAAAAAACATTAAGTTTTAATTGTAGATCGGCGATGCTAAATTCTGTAATGGAGTGCGTTCCCTTTTTAAAGAAATCTGTTTTGTTTATCCGGTTGGTCGCGTTTTTACTTATATGATGGAGGGCGTCAAGTCCAAAAACGCCAGACAGAGAGCAGAATGTTTGGAGGTTATGGGTTCTATAATACAAGATCACGGTGAGTGATGGGTGAAATTGTAGCCCGAGCTACAACGAACACTGCTAAACACGTTATTGTTTCATAGGTATGTCCGTTTGTGGTTCCTCACCGACTGCGGTTCTCAAAGACGTCGCTAAGCAAGTGTCTGATAAAGATAAGTCGGTTCGTAACGCTGCCTTGAATTGTCTAGTGGAAGCGTACACGATTTTGGGTGATAAGCTTTACAAAATGATAGGGAATGTAGGTGTTTGTAGGTTAGGGTGTTAGGGTTTTAATTGTTGTTTGTTTGGTAGATATTAGGAAAAGATTTGTCTCTCTTGGAAAGTCGAATTAAGCATTCAAAACGCACGACTATTATAAAAGCGGACGCTCAGATACCCCAGTTTTCGTCTAAAGAACAAGAAGCCATTAACACAGACGGTGATAGTGGGGATACTGAACCCGAACGGAACGAAGATGAAGAAGAGGATAATTTACCGCCTGTGATGTAAGTAAAAGAGTAAACTGAAATGTATTTGTTACATTTTTCCACTTTGAAATAAAATTCTGGGGAATTTTGTTGCGGTTGGTACCACAAATGTCAAATTAAACATTTGAAGTTTGAAATTTATTTAACATTGGCGTTTGTAATGGTCACCAATCTTGAAACCAAAATTAACCAGTTTTCTTGACAAGATAGAGATTCAGACTGATATGATACTACTTTTTTTAATAGAATGCCCCTGAAAGTGGCCCAAGAGACCACCGAGCCCACTGGCCCGTTTGCTCTAGACCGAGAGCTGCTAGCACAACTAGACAAACTCCACGTGGTCCAAGTACCGGCCAAAGTTAAAGAATTCGACTTAGACTTTCTGAAGGACGACATACACATTCCCACACTATCACCGGCAGATATGAGGGCCAAGTAATTTAATTTTTGCAATAAAAACAATTTTTTGTTATTTATTTATTTATTTTTCAGAATAATGCCACTCTCACCACCAAAACCCCTAGACCCCAACGTATCTATTTCAAGACTGAACGCAGGCCAGAGACAAGGAAGTCCCAAAAAGCACGACCCCTTCTTGACCAGCATCATCCACCAAATCGGGTCGCCCGACCCCAATATGGCGCTACAGGGTTTGCAGCAAATGATCGAGTTCTTACAATCCACCAAAAGTGGCGCCATGGTAAATTACGAAAACGAATTTTTCCGTTCCATGGTCACCCAATTGAAGCACCTGCGGGGTCAGGACGCCGTGAGTGACCATCAAGTGGCCAAAATTTATCGCAGTCTTTTGACAGCAATTGATGCGGTTAGTTGTTTGTTCCGAGTAACGAAAATCCCTAAATGTGCGTTTCAGTTCTACCACAACAAAAATTTCGGGCAGCAAGTGTTTGTCGAGAATTTGAAAGACATAGTGGATCAGTTGATACACGTCTTGGTTGACGCTAAATTGGAGAATTGTACCAACGGGGATGCGTATGTCAGGGTGATCAACTTGCATTGCGTGAAAATCATTGAGAAGTCAGACCACACGAAAATAATTTGGTTGGTTTGGGTCATGTTTTAGTTGTATTTTAGTAACTGTTTGAAATTACAGCGCTTTAGTTAAGTTAATTCATGAGTGCATCCGCATGGATAATTGGGCTCGGCACACGGAGCTAGTTATGAAATGCCTTTGGAGAGTGATCAAACTAATGCCAGACTGGGGAGAGGATGTAGATTACGACTCCGTGTTACTAGAAGTGCACAATTTCCTCAAAGAGTTTCCCTCGACGTGGTGGAAAAATAAACCCACAGACACCGCGCTTCGCACCATCAAAACCATCCTTCACTCGTCGGTTAAAATCAGAGGGGGCTCCATAATGCTCCACTTTGGCAAAATCTCGAATCCCAGCGAATCAGAAATCGAATCCTACATTCTAAAATTATTAAAGGTAAAACGTTTTTTAATTGAACTAGAAACTTAATAAATGAAAATCCCCTAGACTATGAAACTGGAAGCAGTCCACGTGCAGCCAAGTCAACAACAACGCATGCCCTTCTCCAGAGCCACCCACACAATGTTGACGGAAATTTTCCAGAAAATCGGAAACAAAGACGAGACTAAGGAAGGTTTGACGTTGCTGTACGACTTCATGCAGCAGCACCCCGAAGCCGACATTGACCCATTCTTGAAAAAGTCGTCCAAGTTTTTCCAGGATTATATCCAGAACGGGTTGCAAGAAATCGCGGAATCTCGAAAATCGGCCAAATCGACTATGGGTGAGTGGGTTTAGTTGGTTCGTTGGACGAAAGTGACATATTTTTGCAGAAAAAGTCGAAGAAAAGGCAACTGAGTTGATCACGTCGTCGTCGGGGGTGGCGCAGGACGTGAAAAGTCCAGAGTATTGGAATCGACGGTTGGAGATGTGGAAGAAACAGATGTACGGTGATCGCGTCGCCGACAACTGATTGGAACTGAAGTCAGAATAATTTATTTATTGGAGTAAAATTAAGCTGACTAAAATAGTTGAAATTGTTTACTATATTTATAATTGTCCCGGTTACGACAGTGGCTCTACGATTAGTTCTTCACCTATTTAATTATGCGTAGTGTAAATAACTGTTACTATTGTAATTTCTAAAAAATCTGTTTTTGTATTATTTTTTTACGGTTTCGTTCTGTCATTAAACGTATTCCCAGTGAACTGTCTTTTATTTAGTTAGTTAGTTAGTAATAGCTGCGTGGTAAATTCCAGACGCACCTTGTACGTAACAACAACCATCTAGAAAACTCCACGTCAGAAGATCGTTTTTATCTTATTAAACTCTCTCTTATCCAAATTTGCGTTACGCCACTGCACCGGAACATTCACGAAGCTACGGTCACGTGGACCAATCAGAAGCGGCCAACAAAAGAGAGATTAGCCAATGACAAATCCGGACTTTGAAAATGTGACCAATCACAAGATACCACGACAAATTCTAGATTTATATGCGGCGTGTCAAACCAATTTCGCCAGTTTTGTGCACTAGAGAGGAGATCGAACGTTGCAGTGATTTTAGCGACGAAAAGTGTGCGAGTTTTTTCTTTTTCGGGTATTTATTTGTCTAATTGGTGAGTATTCATTGGTATTGATTAAGTTTCAGCGCTTCGGGGTTAAATGAGAGCGAAAATAGTGGCTTGGTCGGGCCACCATGATACTTCATTGCCGGCTTTTCGGGGGCTTGGGGGTTTGGGGCGGGATGGCGGGGTGGAATTAGGTTAGTTTGGGGAAAACGCGGCGTTTTTGGGGCGTTGAATGTATAGGGTTTGTGGGGATTGACGGATGTGGTGGCTACGTGTCATTACTTCGTGATTACGGAGGTTGGAATTGTACAGTTAGATTACGAGGTGGCACGGCCACATCACATATTGGTGAACATTGGTGGTTGATTGAGCGGTTTTTGGGTTTCAGTTGGGGAGAGAAGAGTTTTTGAAGATGAAGTTGCATGTGGCGTTGGGGGCGATTTGCCTCTTTTTGACAGTTGTGGCCAAAGATGACAAGAAGGAGAAGGAGGATGTAGGGACGGTGATTGGGATTGATTTAGGAACAACGTACTCGTGGTAAGGATTTCACCCGTTTTTGGTTATTTGTTAAAGAAAAATTGGAAGAACTGGCGTGGTGGAAATTAATGAACTGTCTTGAACTGAAAGTGAGATTATTGTTGATCTCTTAAGTACATTGAGGATATAGATTAAAGATAGTCTCATATTTGTTGGAAGTTTTTCTGCCTTGGTTTTAACTAAACAATGATTCAGACATGATTAATTCAACGAAAAAAATGTTACCAAACATGTGTTCAGTGGCGCTAGTACGAAAAGTAAAGTTTTATTGTTCAGTTTTAAGATGAATTAGTTGTTAATACCCAAAAATGGGCTAAATATACGCAAAATTCGAGGTTTATACACACCTTTTCATTCATAAGTTGTGTTAATGAATGTTTTTACGTTTTACGCCTTGAATGTCAATGAACGCCACTTTTTATCACTGTCTTTAAGATTTTTGTTCTCAAATTGCTGTGACCTTTGTACTACTGGTAATGTTTTTTTTTTTAAGAATTTTGGTACCTTTCGGTGTTTATTTTTGAAAAAGTCTTGGGAACCCTTGATGTTTTTGTAATTGAAAAAATTTGAAAAAACCTTTAGGTAACCTGGTGTTTTTACCTCAAGGTTCCAACTCATTGTAAGTAAGCTCGTAATTCCAAATTTTGATCATTTTTTTTTTTGTAAAAGTTAGTCATCAGTATTTGATATGATAAAACTGATTTTGGCAGATGACATAGCCTCTAAGAAAAGAGGGTGGGTGGGCGGGGCTAGTACCTGCTAAGATAAAACTGATTTTGCCAGATGACGTATCCTCCAAGAAAATAGAGGGCAAAATTCTAAAATTGAAAAAGGGAAAAAAAATTTAAGTTATAATTATCAGTTGCACGTTTGAAATGAAAACTAGAAAAGTTGTAATTCAAAAGTTGAAGAAACGAAAAATGAAAAAATCGAAGTTAGATTTTTTAAAAATTGAAAAAAAAAGGAAAATTATTAAACATGAACATTGAAAAAAGAAAGAAAAAAATAAAATACGAAAATAAAAATTTTCGAAAATATGTAGTTGAAAAGTGATCGAATATGTCAAAAGTGACAAAATCAGTCTTACCTTAACAATTACTAGTCCCACCCACCCACCTTCTATTTTCTTACAAGGTATGTCATTTGCCAAAATCTGTATTATTTTAGCTAGTACTGGGTAAGATAAGGCTGATTTTGGCAAATGACAGATCCCCTAAGAAAATAGGGGGCAAGATCCCAAAATTGAAGAAGTGATTTTTTTTTTTAATTATAGGAGTAATAATTATTTGTTGCACATTTGAAATGAAAACTAGAAAAAATAAATAGATATTTTAGCTACTTTTGACATTCACAACTGCTCTGAATCCTGATATTGTAAGTAAGCTCATAATGTTTCCAAATTTTGATAATTTTCTATAAAAGTTACTCATCAGTAGTTGGTAAGATAAAACTGAGTTTGGGAGATGACATAGCCTCTAAGAAAAGAGAGGGTGGGTGGGCGGGGCTACTGCCTGCTAAGATAAAACTGATTTTGGCAGATGACATAGCCTCTAAGAAAAGGGAGGGTGGGTGGGCGGGGCTGGTACTTGCTAAAATAAGAACGATTTTGGCAAATGGGATTCCCTATAAGAAAAGAGAGGGTGGATGGGTGGGTGGAGCTAGTAGTTGCTAATATAAAACTGATTTTGGTAGATGACATAGCCTCTAAGAAAAGAGAGGGCGGATGGGCGGGGTCAGTACTTGGTAAGATAAGACTGATTTTGGTAAATGACATATCCTCTAAGAAAAGAGAGGGTGGGTGGGCGGGGCTAGTACCTGCTAAGATAAAATTGATTTTGGCAGATGACGTATCCTCTAAAAAAATACACGGCAAAATCCTAAAATTGAAAAAGTGAAAAAAGTTATAATTATTAGTTGCACATTTGAAATGAAAATTAGAAACATTGTAATTCAAAAGTTGAAGAAACGAAAAATGAAAAAATCTAAATAGAATGTCATTTGCCAAAATCTGTCTTATCTTAACTAGTATTGGGTAAGATAAGACTGATTTTGACAAATGACAGATCGCCTAAGAAAATAGAGGGCAAGATCCCAAAATTGAAGAAGTGATTTTTTTTTTAAATTATAATTATTTGTTGCAAATTTGAAATGAAAACTACAAAAAATAAATAGCTATTTTAGTTACTTATGACATTCACAACTGCTCTGAACCCTGAATAAGTAAAGTCGTAAGAGTCGTAGTGTTTCCAAATTTTGATTATTTTTTGTAAAAGTTAGTGATCACTTGCTAAGATAAAACTGATTTTGGCAGATGACATAGCCTCTAAGAAAAGAGAGGGTGGGTGGGTGGGGCTAGTACCTGCTAAGATAAAACTGATTTTGGCAGATGACGTATCCTCTAAGAAAATAGACGGCAAAATCCTAAAAGTAAAAAAAATTTTAAGTTGTAATTATTAGTTGCACATTTGAAATGAAAACTAGAAAAATTGTAATTCAAAAGTTGAAGAAACGAAAAATGAAAAAATCTAAAAGTTGGAAATTTAAAAAATTGAAAAAAAAATTGTTAAACATGAACATTGAAAAAAGAAAGAAAATAAAAAACGGAAACAAAAATTTTCGAAAATAATTGAAAAGTAATCGAACATGTCAAAAGTGTCAAAATCAGTCTTATCTTAACAATTACTAGTCCCGCCCACCCACCCTCTATTTTCTTACAAGCTATGTCATCTACCAAAATCAGTCTTACCTTAGCAAGTACTAGCCCCACCCACCCACCCTCTCTTTTCTTATAGAATGTCATTTGCCAAAATCTGTTTTATCTTAGCTAGTAATGGGTATGATAAGACTCATTTTTGTCAAATGACAGTTCCCTATTCCCTAAGAAAATAGAAGGCAAGATCCCAAAATTGAAAAAGTGTTTTTTTTTAAACTAGAACAATTATTTGTTGCACATTTGAAATGAAAACTAGAAAAAATAAATAGCTATTTTAGTTACTTTTGACATTCACAACTGCTCCGAACCCTGAATAAGTAAGCTCGTAATGTTTCCAAATTTTGATCATTTTTTGTAAAAGTTAGTCATCAGTACTTGTTAAGATAAAACTGATTTTGGCAGATGACATAGCCTCTAAAAAAGAGAGGGTGGGTGGGCGGGGCTAGTACCTGCTAAGATAAAACTGATTTTGGCAGATGACATAGCCTCTAAGAAAAGAGAGGGCGGGTGGGCGGGGCTAGTATTTGAGAAGATGAGACTGATTTAAGTTAGTTGCACATTTGAAATGAAAATCAAAAAATTGTAATTCAAAAGTTGAAGAAACGAAAAATGAAAAAGTCTAAAAGTTGTAAATTTAAAAAATTGAAAAAAAACACAATTATTAAACATGAACATTGAAAAAAGAAAGAAAATAAAATACGGAAATAAAAATTTTCGAAAATAGTTGAAAAGTGATCGAATATGTCAAAAGTGCCAAAATCAGTCTTATCTTAGCAAGTACTAGCCCCACCCACCCACCCTCTCTTTTCTTATACAATGTCATTTGCCAAAATCTGTCTTATCTTAGCAAGTACTTGCTAAGATTAGACTGATTTTGGCAAATGACAGATCCTCTAAGAAAATAGAGGGCAAGATCCCAAAATTGAAGAAGTGATTTTTTTTTAAATTATAATAATTATTGCACATTTGAAATGAAAACTAGAACAAAAATTGCTATTTTAGTTACTTTTGACATTCACAACTGCCCTGAACCCTGATATAAGTAAGCTCGTAATGTTTCCAAATTTTGATAATTTTTTGTAAGAGTTAGTCATCAGTACTTGCTAAGATAAAACTGATTTTGGCAGATGACATGGCGTCTAAGAAAAGAGAGGGTGGGTGGGCGGGGCTAGTACCTGCTAATATACAACTGATTTTGGCAGATGACTTATACTCTAAGAAAATAGAGGACAAAATCCTAAAATTGAAAAAGTGAAAAAAACTTTTAGTTATAATTATTAGTTGCACATTTGAAATGAAAACTAGAAAAATTGTAATTCGAAAGTTGAAGAAACGAAAAATGAAAAAATCTAAAAGTTGGAAATTTAAAAAATTGAAAAAAAAAGAAAAATTGTTAAACATGAACATTGAAAAAGGAAAGAAAATAATAAACAAACAAAAATTTTCGAAAATAGTTGAAAAGTAATCGAACATGTCAAAAGTGCCAAAAATCAGTCTTAACAATTACTAGCCCCGCCCACCCACCCTCTATTTTCTTACAAGCTATGTCATCTGCCAAAATCAGTCTTATCTTAGCAAGAACTAGCCCCACCCACCCACCCTTTCTTTTCTTATTGAATGCCATTTGCCAAAGTATGTTTTATCTTAGCCAATACTGGGTAAGATAAGACTGATTTTGGCAAATGACAGATTCCCGAAGGAAATAGAGTGCAAGATCCCAAAATTGAAAAACTGAAATTTTTTTTAAATTATAACCATTATTTGTTGCACATTTGAAATGAAAACTATAAAAAATAAATAGCTATTTTAGCTACTAATATTTCCAAATTTTGATCATTTTTTGTAAAAGTTAGTCATCAGTAGTTGCTAAGATAAAATTGATTTTGGCAGATGACATAGTCTCTAAGAAAAGAGAGGGTGGGTGGGCGGGGCTAGTACCTGCTAAGATAAAACTGATTTTGGCAGACTACATAGCCTCTAATAAAAGAGAGAGTGGGTGGGCGGGGCTAGTAGCTGCTAAGATAAAACTGATTTTGGCAGATGACAGTCTCTAAGAAAAGAGAGGGTGGGTGGGCGGGGCTAGTACCTGCTAAGATAAAACTGACTTGGCAGATGACATTGCCCTTAATAAAAGAGACGGTGGGTGGGCGGGGCTAGTACTTACTAAAATAAGATCGATTTTGGCAAATGAGATTCCCTCTAAGAAAAGAGAGGGCGGATGGGTGGGGCTAATACCTGCTAAGCTAAGACTGATTTTATCAAATGACGTATCCTCTAAGAAATTTAATTACATTATTATAAGAAAAGGCCCTAGAGGCTCCAAAGCACTTTCAAGTTCTTTGCAAACAGGAATACCTTAAACCTCAAGATTTTTTTAAATTAAAAAAACAAACACTGGGTCCCAAAATTGTCTGCACCCAATGGTGTATTATTTTGGGAGCCCATGGAGAATTTTTTTTGTAAATTATTTAAAACAATTTTGGGAGACTTTCGTGTGGTATATATTTTTGGAAAATTCTGACCTGGCATGTTTTTGAGTCATTTTTGGAACCCCTTTTTTTTGAAAAATTTAAAACTGTCTTGAGGTTCTGTTTGGAACGAATTTGAAAGTGCTTCGGAGCCTCTAGTGTACATCATTTGCTAAAATCAGTCTTAACACCAGTCACCCCCCTCGATTTTCTTTTCATTTCCCAAAATCAGCCTTGTCTTAGCAAGTACTAACTCCGCCCACCCACCCTCTCTTTTCTTAGAGACTATGTCATCTGCCAAAATCAGTCTTATCTTAGCAGCTACTAGCCCCACCCACCCACCCTCTTTTCTTAGAGGCTATGTCATCTGCCAAAATCAGTTTTATCTTAGCAGCTGCTAGTTCCACCCACCCGCCTTCTCTTTTCTTGTAAGGTATTTCATCTGCCAAAATCAGTTTTATCTTAGCAGGTACTAGCCAAGCAACTCCCCAATTAAAAAAAAACACTGCGGCACTCAAGACTTTTTCAGATTCCTAAAAAGTAAAACACTAAAACTTCAAAAGATTTTTGTAGTACTCCATAGATTTAGAAGCAATAAATACACTATCAAAGAAGCAATAATTTCAGATGGATCACTCATTACCTTTATAGATCATAAAGCCTGGAATTCTAGATGTTCCTTTTGAATAAAACTTCAGAACTTTTTGGAATCAACAGAAATGGATTGTTCTAAGTCGGAAGTATTTTTTGTAAGCAATGTTAGATTTGGAAGAAGACGTTCAAATGATTCATAAGATTGTGAAGATCCACTCTTTTTGTATTTTTTAAAAGTACAATTTTTTAATTGAATAGAATGAATGACGTCACAAATAAACCAAGGAGGGTGATATTGGCGGTGGAGATTTGAGGGAGAATATTTGGGCACAGTTGAGTCAAATAAAGTTGAAGTTATTGTTCAAGTTGTTCATTTGAAAAACTTATGAGGCGCGAAAAGAGATTGAAAATTAGAAAGAATCTTGAAAATCTGTTGGTTTTTTTTTTTCATTAAGAAATTTAAAAAAATTTGGGAACGCCTGGTGTCTTTTTGAAGAAATTTGAAGAAACCTTGAGGAAACCTGGCGTTTTCTTTATTACACGATTATATAGGTGTACCTCAAGGTTCCAACTGGGACTTCGTCTTTTTATATTATTTATTGACGACGTAGATTTGCAGAAGACTTGAAAATGTATTCTTCTCTTGTTAATCTTGACATGAGGCGAACCTAAACAAGATTCACAGAATTTATCATTATCATTCGAACCGACATACTAAACCCCGCCTTTTTCCAGCGTCGGGGTCTACAAAAACGGTCGCGTGGAGATCATCGCCAACGACCAAGGCAACCGCATCACCCCCTCGTACGTCGCCTTCACCGCCGACGGCGAGCGCCTGATCGGCGACGCCGCCAAGAACCAACTGACCACCAACCCCGAGAACACCGTCTTCGACGCGAAACGCCTCATCGGGCGCGAATGGAGCGACCCCACGGTCCAAAACGACATAAAATTCTTCCCGTTCAAGGTGGTCGAGAAGAACTCCAAGCCGCACATCTCCGTCGAGACCGGCCAAGGAGACAAAGTTTTCGCCCCCGAAGAAATCTCCGCCATGGTCTTGGGCAAAATGAAGGAGACCGCGGAGGCATACCTGGGCAAGAAAGTGACCCACGCTGTGGTGACGGTACCGGCGTACTTCAACGACGCCCAGCGCCAGGCCACCAAAGACGCCGGTACCATCGCTGGGTTGAACGTGATGAGAATCATCAACGAACCCACGGCGGCCGCCATCGCCTACGGTTTGGATAAGAAAGACGGCGAGAAGAACGTTCTGGTGTTCGATTTGGGCGGCGGTACTTTCGATGTGTCGCTCTTGACCATCGATAATGGGGTGTTCGAGGTGGTGGCCACGAATGGAGACACCCATCTGGGTGGCGAAGATTTCGATCAAAGAGTCATGGATCACTTCATCAAGTTGTACAAAAAGAAGAAGGGTAAAGATATTAGGAAGGATAACAGAGCGGTGCAGAAGTTGCGTCGTGAGGTCGAAAAAGCCAAGAGGGCGCTGTCGTCGGGTCACCAGGTCAGAATCGAAATCGAATCGTTCTTCGAAGGTGACGACTTCTCCGAAACTTTGACCCGAGCGAAATTCGAAGAGCTGAATATGGATTTGTTCAGATCGACGATGAAGCCGGTGCAGAAGGTCCTCGAAGACGCCGACATGAACAAAAAGGACGTCGACGAAATCGTGTTAGTTGGAGGTTCCACCCGTATCCCCAAGGTCCAACAACTCGTGAAGGAGTTCTTCGGAGGAAAAGAACCCTCTCGGGGTATCAACCCCGACGAAGCCGTCGCTTACGGAGCAGCCGTCCAAGCTGGTGTCCTTTCCGGCGAACAAGACACCGACGCCATCGTCCTCCTCGACGTCAACCCCTTGACCATGGGTATCGAGACCGTGGGTGGAGTCATGACCAAACTCATCCCTCGCAACACCGTCATCCCCACCAAAAAGTCGCAAGTCTTCTCCACGGCGTCCGATAACCAGCACACCGTCACCATCCAAGTCTACGAAGGCGAGCGTCCCATGACCAAAGACAACCATCTCCTGGGCAAATTCGACCTTACGGGTATCCCTCCAGCACCACGTGGTGTCCCCCAGATCGAAGTCACCTTCGAGATCGACGCCAACGGCATCCTCCAAGTGTCCGCCGAAGACAAAGGTACCGGAAATCGCGAGAAGATCGTCATCACGAACGACCAGAACAGGTTGACTCCTGAGGATATCGATCGGATGATCCGCGATGCGGAGAAGTTCGCCGACGACGACAAGAAGCTGAAGGAGCGGGTGGAGGCGAGGAACGAGCTGGAGAGCTACGCGTATTCGCTGAAGAACCAATTAGGCGACAAGGATAAACTGGGGGCGAAGGTGTCGAGCGACGAGAAGGCGAAGATGGAGGAGGCAATCGACGAGAAGATCAAGTGGTTGGAGGACAATCAGGACACGGAGGCGGAGGAGTACAAGAAGCAGAAGAAGGAGCTCGAGGACGTGGTGCAGCCGATCATCGCGAAGTTGTACCAGGGGACGGGAGGGGCACCTCCACCGTCGAGCGAGGACGACGACGATCTTAAAGACGAGCTGTGAGGTGCAAGACTGACTTTACTGTACTAGCGCGGACTGTGTGGATGAGTGTGGATGCGTCGAATGTTTGCTATGTTTAGGAATTTTATTTTTAACAAATTTCCCAGTAAGATACCTGATGGGTTTTGTATTAAGTAGTAAATCTTTTATATTGCAGTTTTTATGTGCGTAATGGTATTTATTTATTTTTTCCGATCTCAAATATGGGTGTACGACTGTAGATTGCAAATCTAGTGTACGTTTTAGTGGATTGTACACTTGTATTTGATTGTTGTTATCTTCAATTTTTCAATAAAGTATTGGAAAATTTGTTTGGTTTTTTTTTAACCTAGGTAGCGTTGGGTGAGGACGTGCTGCTCGCTCAGGCTGGGTTACAAAGTCTGATTATTGGTCAAATCAAGCCCATGAAGTCAGTTAGTGGCGTAAATAACACGCCACTGGAAAAATATGGATATTCTCAGTTTGTCAGTACAGTACAGTACTTAACTTCAACTGTTTATGTTTATACTTCAAAAGAATTCGACTAATAGCACGTTCAAATTACAACCATGAACGGTTAAAAGAAAATGAAATTTGATTGATTGTGTTTCCTGAGCAAAAATGAGAGGACTGATTAATTAATTAACCAGACTTAGTTTTTTTTCCCAAAAACACTCATAAATTTCGAGAATTGCAAGATGACAGATAACATTTTGATTAAGTATTTCTAAGGTTTCACAGCATTCGGTTTTTACAATTTCAAAGTTAAATTATTGCAAAACGTAGGTACATACTTACAAAATTTTGATTTTATTCACTCAGATCTGAATACCAAGTGTAAAAACTCAAGATGGATCGGATATATAAATCACAGATGCAGGTAGGTGTTATTTTGTATAATTTAAAGAACATTTGACAGAATTAAGATTCTTGGGCAAAACTATCCGTTTTGATAGGGCAACTCTTCAATCGTTCTCCAAAATTTACCAAAAATTTGTTTAAGTTAAGATGAAATTGCCAAAATTATTTTTCATATTTTGACCGGGAAACCACATTTTCGGGGTTAATTTAACAAAGTTTAACCAAATTGATTTGTTTTTAATAACTTTGTGTTCGCAGGAAAACGCTTTACGGTTAAATTATGATATATTAATACTTATTTGTTATGAAACTATGACATGGATCTTCATTTGTGGTTGCGTTTTTGTAGTTTTTTGACCCTTTTTTCTGTGCTTTTTACCTCTTGGGTCTCTTTTATCATTACCGTCGTTTTTTGGTCACTTTCAAGTTTTTTGTTTCTTTTTGTAACTTCTTGTCACCGTTTTTGTCGCATTTTTCTCTTTTTGTCGGAATTTTGTGTCACTTTTTCATTTTTCATATACTTGGTATTTTATCACTTTTTTTGTTGTTTTTTAAATCTCTTTTTATTCCTTTTACCGAGATTTTGTCTTTTTTATGGCTTCTTTTGATTTTAAGATTTTTTCCGTTTTTAATCGCTCTGTTTTTTGTAGCTTTTTGCGGCTTTTGTCCTTTCTTATTGCTTTTAATTGGTCTTTATCGCTCCTTCTGTTTCTTTTTTTATCTTTTTTAGCGTTTTCCCCCTTTTTTATGACTTTTATTATATTTTTGTACCTTTTTTGGTCACTTTTTGTGTATTTTTTACTCCTTTTTTGTAGTTTTTTGTCACCTTCCTTTTTTTTGGAATTTTGTGTCACTTTTTTTTGTTTTTTAATCCCCCTTTTTTCATACCTTTTTTATCACCATTTTGTTTCATTTTTTATTTCCTTTTTTACGTAGTATTTTTCCCTTTTTTGTCTTTTTCTTTCACTTTTTTTTGTTGTTTTTTAGATCTCTTTTCCTTTTTAATCGTCTTTTTTTTGTTCCTTTCTTTATCGCTCCGTCTATGTTTTTTTAATCTTTTTTAGGATTTCCCGTCTTTTTTATTACTCTTGTAATTTTTTTTGTCCCTTTTTTGGTCCCCTTGTTATCGCTTTTCATGTTTTTTTTGGTCTCTCCTTGTTGCCTTTTTTGGTGTCCTTGTTTATCGCCTTTTTGGTCACTTTTTTATATTTTTATCAGTTTTTTCTTACCGTTTCCATCGCCTTTCTTTTTTTTTGTTGGAATTTTATGTCCCTTTTTTTCATTTTTCTTATGGTATTTTTATCACTTTTTTTTGGTTGTTTTTTTAATTCCCCTTTTCATCTCTTTTTTACCATTTCATCTCATTTTTTATTTTCGTTATTTTCATACATAGTATTTTTTCCTTTTTTTTGTATCCATTTTTTGGTTGTTTTTTTTTAAAAATTTTTTACACTCTTTTTTTTATATCTTTTTGTTGCCTTTCATTGATTCTTTTCTTTATCACTGCTTTTGTAGTTTTTATATCTTTTTTAGGATTATTTCCGTTTTTTATAACATTTTTTTGTCCTTTTTTTGGTCGCCTTGTGATCTCTTTTTTGTTATTTTTTTAGTCCTCTTGTTTATCGCGTTTTTGATCACTTTTTCTGTATTTTTATTTTTTATTCGTTTTTCTGTACTTTTGTGTCACTTTTTTTTCACATTGTATTTTTATCACTTTTTTGGTCGTCTTTTAACCTTCTTTTTCATCCCTTTTTTACCGCCATTTTGTCTTATTTTTTATTTCCTTTTTTTTTTTCGTATTATTTCTCCTTTTTTTTCGTTTTTTATGACTTTTTTTGGTTGTTTTATTTTAGATTTTTTCCCTTTTCAATCGCTCTGTTTTTGTAACTTTTTGTTTTTGTTCCTTCTTATTGCTTTTAATTGTCCCCTTTCAGTACCGCTCCTTTTGTCTTTTTTTAATCTTTTTTAGGATTTTTCTCCCCTTTTTTATGACTCTTGTTTGATTTTTTGTTCCTTTTTAGGTTCCTTTGTCATCGCTTTTTTTGTTATTTTTCGGTCTCTTATTATTGCCTTTTTGATCCCCCCCCCGTTTATGATTTTTTTTGTCACTTTTTGTGTATTTTTACTTAGTTTTTTGTAGTTTTTTGTCGCCGTTTCTATCGCTTTTTTTTTTGTTGGAATTTTGTGTCACTTTTTTTCATTTTTCATATATGTAGTATTTTTATCACTTATTTTGTTGTTTTTTTAATCCCCCTTTTTATCGCTTTTTTACCACCATTTTGTCGCATTTTGATTTCGATTGTATTTTTTTCTTTTTGTGGTTTTTTATGCTTTTTTGGTTGTTTTTTAGATTTCTTCCCTTTTTAATCACTCTTTTTTGTATCTTTTGGTTGTTTTTGTCCCTTCTTATTGCCTTTAATTGGTTCCTTTCTTTATCGCTCCTTTTGTAGTTTTTGTCTTTTATAGGATTGTTCTTCCCTTTTTTTTGACATTCCTTTGTTATTTTTTGTCCCTTTGGTCACCTTCTTATCGTTTTTTTGTTTTTTTTTTTGGGTCTGTTCCTATTGCCTTTTTTAGTCGCCTTGTTTATCGTTTTTTTGCTCACTTTTTTGTGTATTTTTATTCGTTTTTTGTACTTTTGAGTCACTTTTTTTCATTTTTCACATCGTATTCCTTTTTTTGGTCGTCGTTTAATCCTCTTTTTTCATAGTGTTTTTTCCTTTTTTTGTCTTTTTCTATGACTCTGCTTGTTTTATTTTAGATTTTTTCCCTTTTTAATCGCTCTCTTTTAGTAGCTTTTTGTTGTTTTTGTCCCTTCTTAATAATTGCCCCTTTTGTGTCCGTTTTAATCTTTTTTAGAATTTTGCTCCCCTTTTTATGACTCTCTTTTGTTATTTTTTGGTCCCCCCCTCTTTATGGGCTTTTTTATGACTTTTTTGTGTAGTTTTTTGTCTCCGTTTCTATCGCCTTTCCTTTTTTTTGTTGGAATTTTGTGTCACTTTTTCATTTTTCATACATATTTGCAGTATTTTTATCACTTTTTTTGGTTGTTTTTTTAATCCCCCTTTTTTACCACCATTTGGTCTCATTTTTTATTTCCTTTATTTTCATAGTACTTTTTTCCTTTTTTTTTGGTTTTTTGATCCCTTTTTTGGTTGTTTTTTAAATGTTTTCCTTTTTAATCACTTTTTTGTATCTTTTTGTTGTTTTTGCCTCTTCTTATTGCCTCTAATTGGTTTTTTATCTTTTTTAGGATTTTTCTTTCCTTTTTTGACATTTCTTTGTTATTTTTTGTCCCTTTTTTGGTTGCTTTGTTATCGTTTTTTATCTCTTCTTATTGCCTTTTTTGGTCCTTTTGTTTATCGCTTTTTTGGTTGCTTTTTTCTAAATTTTTATACGTTTTATTTGTACTTTTGTCACTTTTTGTCATTTTTCATATAATATTTTTATCACTTTTTTTTTCATAGTATTTTTTCCATTTTTTTGTCTTTCTATCCCCCTTTTTGATTGTTTTTTAGACTTTTGCTCTTTTTAAATCGCTCTTTTTTTAGTTTTTTTTTGTTGTTTTTGTCCCTTCTTGTTGCCTTTAATTGGTCCCTTTCTTTATCGTTCCTTTTTTGTTTTTTTTTTCTACCCTTTTTTTTGTCCCCTTGTTATCGTTTTTTTTTAGCACTTTTTTGTGTATTTTTACTCGTTTTTTTGTAGTTTTTTGTCACCTTTCTTTTTTTGAGGGTTTTTTTTGGTAAATTTTGGTCTTTTTCTGCTGATTTCCTTATCTTTTAACAGTCTTTTTTGACCTCTCCGATCTTTGTATTGTATAGAATTTTTTTGGCACCTTTTATTGTTGATCTTTTTTTGGCCGCTTTTTTAACCTCTTTTTTATCGCTTTTTTGACATCATTTTATTTCCTTTTTTAATGTATTTTTATTTTTATACCTCTTTTTGTCTTTTTTAAATAATTTTTTGCCTGTTTTTTAAGTCCTTTTTCATTACCTTTTTTTGATTCCCTTTTTTAATCGCTTTTTTGTTACCTTCTATTGTCGATTTTTTTTGGTCACTTTTTTGACCCACATTTTTTATCGTTTTTTTGTTACCATTTTGTGTCACTTTTTGTTTCCTTTTTTCTTATGACTTATTTTTTTTTTGGGTGATTTCTTGGACCTTAATGTCATTCTTTTTTGTGGTCTCTTTGTTGGCATTTTCTGACAGTTTTTTGTCCTCTTTTTTTTTCGTTTTTTTGTCGCTTTTATTATATATCCTTGAAATATCCACATAAAACCAAATCTTAGAAACTCACAAATTTTTTTTTCGCGGAAAACCTAGTCAGAACCTGTTGCTCGCTCAGCCTGGGTCAAAAACCCCGCATCAAGCCACAACCATAAAAACCGCAAAAACAACACCAAAAAATAAATACTGAGTTATTTATTATTCATTATTCGTGTCAATACAAACAAAATTAAACGCGAGCTATTAAAATGCAATACATTAAAACCTAAACTCGAAACTTCCTAGCAGTGCCCTCTATCTTCCACTCTCCTCCTCGGCGCCGCCTTAATAATATTATCCACTCTCAGAATCATCTCGGCTGCCTCAGCCGCCGAAAGCAAGACCTGCCTCTTCACGACGAACGACTCCGTGATCCCCAACGCCTTCATATCCCCCACTTCTCCCGCCTCCATGTTCAGCCCCGCGGTCACATTCCCACTATAATGCGCCGCCTTCAACTCGCTAATCAACTGAGCTGAGTCATACCCAGCATTGTCGCCTATGATCGTCGGCAGCTGCAACAGCGCCCTGGCGAAGGCCTCCATGGCCACCGCCTCCTTCCCCGGCGTATTGGCGGCGGCTTTGCTCACAGCGACGGCCATCAGAGTCTCGCTGCAGCCCCCTCCATAGACAATTCGAGTCTCCTTGACTGTGGCCGCCAACACACAAAGAGCGTCATGCAGAGACCTGTCGGCTTCGTCGACGATTTGCTGGGTGGCCCCCCGAATCACGACAGTGCAAGCCTCGCCCAGGGGGACCCCACTGAAACGCAACAAAATATCTTCGCCGATCATAACCTGTTCAATCAAATCGCATTTCCCCAATCTAACCAAATCAGGGTTGTCGAACGTAGACACGATTTCGCCACCTGTAACCAAAGCCAGACGCTCGATCCCGTCAAAGTCGGCATGCTCGATCGCCATCACACCAGCGTCAGCAAAAAGCTGCTCAGGATAATTATAAATCAACTGCCTATTGATAAAAACGTTGGCGTTGTGTTTGAGGATTTTGTTAACTTTGTCTTTCATTTTCTCCTTTTCGGCGGCTTCCAGCTCGGCGATTTTCGCCATGGAGTCGACTTTGATGTGCGAGCCGAACACTTTGATCTTGTCGGTGTCCATGGGGGTGTTGGCGATTAAAATCTTGGCGTTTTCGACCCGCTTCGGCTGGTGGACGCCTGGTTTTTTGTCCAACAGGAAACCCTCGTCCAGGAAGGACTCCTCCAGAGTTCCTCCCGACTTTTTGATGAGTTGGATGGCTTGCAGATCTCCGGAGCCCTTCAAACGCACGACCGCGTCGACGGCGAGCTTGGCGAAGTGCTCTTTGTGTTGAGAGAGGATTTTCGAGCTTAGAGTAGTACGAGCTATGTTCATCAGATCTTCACGGAATTTCTCGTTGTTGTCGCTGTGGTCGAGCGAGGTGTCCCGGAGGGCTTTGCGGGCCACGTCGACGGCTTTACGCCAGCCGGCGATGATGGTCTGGGGGTGGATTTTCTGGTCAATGAGGCGTTCGGCCTCTTTGAGAAGCTCAGACGCTATAATTAGCGATTAATCAATACATTTAAAATAGCAATTGCGACGACTTTGTTACCTAAAACTGTGACTGACGTAGTCCCGTCGCCCACTTCATCGTCCTGCACTTTCGACATATCGACTAAGATTTTCGCAGCGGGGTTGTCGACCCCCACGGCTTTGAGAATCGTCGCTCCGTCGTTGGTGACTTCGACCTGCCCCGCGTTCCTGCCGCTGGAAACCAGGATTTTGTCCATGCCTTTGGGGCCCAGGGTGCTTTTGACTAGGTCTCCGATGGCGATGGCCCCCACGAAGCTGGAAAGACGCGCGATTTCCGCCTTTTCCTCCTCGGCTTCGTGTTTCAGCACACGGACGGGGTTTAAAGACACCTATAATTTACAAAAAGTGTGAAAAAAGGCACGTGGGTTTGCCGGTCCAGGGAGCATGACACACCTGGTTAGAAGTTTGGATTTTTCTGGATAAAAGTGCGTCGTAGTGGGTTTATGGGTGGTGAAAATGGTCAAATGATTGCTAAAAAGGGTTTGCTTACCATTTTGGGTTGATTTGCGTTGTTTTCACGGTTTTATTTAGAATTTTTGCGAAAGGAGTGCGGTTTCGTGATCAACTGTCAAACGTCTAAAAAAATCGGGCGCTGCCACACACACGATATGAAAGTTACTAAAACAGCAATATCGGAAAATCGAATTTCCATAAACGGGATTTAAATAAGTCGTAGCTCAAGTTTTCGGGAAATCTGTTACTGCATTTTTCAATAAAAAATTCATTGCATTTTTACAAACTCTGCGTCACGACTCAGTGGTCACGACAAACCACAAGTAGCGATCACTATCACAACAAGGCGGCAAAATTCACAACGCCAAATGCAATAGTAACTTTGATGTTCAACTTTTGTTGTACAGTAGCGGTCATTTCTACGGAACCACTCGATAAAAAGTCAAGTTGATAGCCCTGTCGTCTAGTACTTTACGCCGAACGCGGTTGGTAGCGGTAGTTGATATGGCAATCGAAACTAGCACAACACGAATGTTTCAGTTGCCCTCAGTTATGCCGCACTGTATCCTGTGCAGACTGTATGTTCTGTTCATCTGTTTATTAAACTAAAATATCTACACTGACAATGGGGCCATCTAACCTGTCAAATTTTTGACACCTATGTTTTCCCCCAGAAACCCGTCAAGGTCACTTACACCAAACAAATTTTGAAAATTTACACTAGGGAGTGGTTCTATAGAAAAGATCGCGACTTTATTTAAAGGGGCTGTAGAAAAAAATGAAGGATTTAAGTTGACTACTACAAAAAATTACCATTTTAGACTAGTTTTATGTTTCGTCTTATCCTTATCAAAATAAATCTACACATTTTACGCAAGAAAAAGGGAAAATGGAGTCCCGCCCACCCGCCCTGTCTCAATTGTGATGATTTTTTTTTATTCGTCGTGAACCAAGAGGGCGGAGCTTAACTGCAAAATACTTATTTCTCCACGAGAAATTACCGTGTAAGACACGTGTTGAGTATCGTGTTATTGAAAAATACTATGTATATATATTAAGAAAAAAATAAAGCCAAAGATTAAGCCCCACCCATACCTGCCCTGATCTAGCAAATTAGGGGCGGAGCCTAATTAGAAAATCCATATTTCCTTACAACAATTTACCATTTTAAACCTGTTTTACGTTTCTAAGAATAAAAAAAATCATCACAATTGAGACGGGGTGGGTGGGCGGGGTTTATATTTTCTTTTTTTCTTAGTATACGTAGTATTCTTTGAACAACACGATACTAATAACCATGATTTTAATTTTTCGTAAAGAAATAAGTTTTTTTTTTCATAGTTGTTTTGTCTTTCTATCCCCTTTTTTGGTTGTTTTTTTAGATTTTTTATTTTTTTAATCGCTCTTTTTTTGTTTTTTGTTGTTGTTTTTGTCCCTTCTTATACCAATAAGAAGGGTATTTTGTTTAATCTAACTGATTAGAGTGACGTTGTAATTTTTATAACGTTGTAAATAAGGAACTGGACGAAAGGGGAACGATGAACTATGTGAAGTTCATTTTTTACATATTTTTGTAATTTCTATTTCCCGAAAGTTTGAATTTAATTGTCTTATTTTTTGGTATGTATTTGAAAAAGTCTTGAGGGGTCCTTTTTGATCTGTTTTTCAATCAATTTTAAAGAACTTTTGGTTCTGAATTTTTTTTTAGGATCTCTGGACTCCTGTGCCTCATTTTTAAAATATTGAAAAGAAACTTGAGGCGTTTTTTAAGCAATGAAGGATTTTGAGGATACTTGATCTGTTTTGAATCGATTTTAAAGAATTTTGATTTTTAATTTTTCAATTTTTTACTATCATTTTACAATTTTTCAGTTTTACATTGCTTAGATTTTTCAGTTTCTGGGTATTTAACTTTTCGTTGCTTCATTTTTATGATTAATTTTTTCGATTTTTCATTTATTCGTTTTTTTAACTTTGAAATTTTTCAAATTTTCGATTTTTCAATCTTTTATTCTTTAATTTACTATTTTGGGGTTTTTCGGTTTTTTCATTTCAGTTTTTCGATTTTGCAGTTTCTCGATTTTAATTTTCCGGTTTTTAAATTTTTCATTTTACAAATTTTCATTTTTTTTATTTTATCGATTCTTCAATTGAATTTTTGTCTTGAAGTCTCAAAATTGAAAAATCGAAAAGAAGAAAAATCCAAAAGTTGGAAAATCGAAATATGTATTTAAAATTGAAAAAGTCAAAATTTTGAATTATCAATTGAAAAACTGAAGAAATGAACAATTCAGAAGTTAGAAGTTCGACAAATTGAAAACATGAAAACTTGCGAAAGGAAAAATTTAAATTTCAATTAATTTTTCCTTTTCTTAATTTTTGATTTTTCAAATAAATAATTTGAAAAATAAAAAAATTGAAGCTTCAGAATTGAAAAATGGAAAAGAAGAAAAATTAAAAAGCTGAAAAATCGAAGTGTATAAAATTGAAAACTGAAAAATTTGCAAATCGAAAAACCAAGGAAATTAAAAAGCGAAAAAATCAACATTGTCAAATTGAAAACTCGGAAAATGCCAGTCGAAAGGAAAAATTCAAAAGTTGGAAATTCGACAAGTTGAAAATTTGAAAAATTGACAACACCAAAACGAAGACACGTTAAATTGAAAAATTCAAAAATATAAAACCCAAAACTCGAAAAATTGCAAGTCGGAAAACTTAAATTGCAAATTAATTTTTCGTTTCCCTAATTTTTGATTTATTTTTTAGATTTTACAATTTTTAATATTTCAATACATATTTCGATGTTTTAGCTTCTCGATTTATAAATTTTGGATTTTTTTATTTTTTCGATTCTTCAATTGAATTTTTGTCTTGAAAAATCAAAAATCTGAAAACCGAAAATTTTAAAACTCAAAGCTCGAAAAATTGCAAATGGGAAAACTTAAATTGCAAATTAATTTTTCGTTTTCTTGATTTTGATTTATTTTTTGATTTACGATTTGCAATTTTTGAATTTTCAACTTTTGAATGTTTCGATTTTTTAATTTTTCGTATCTTCAAATTTTAGTTTTATAATTCTTCGATTTTTCAATTTTTGTCTTGAAAAATTAAAAAACTGAAAATCGAAAAATTGAAGTCTTAAAATTAAAAAATCGAAAAGAAGAAAAATCCAAAAGTTGGAAAATGGAAATATTTAAAACTGAAAACTCAAAAATTTTAAAATTGAAAATTCGAAAAATTATCAGTCGAAAAACTGAAGAAATGAAAAATTCAAAAGTTGAGAAATCAAAAAATTTAAAACCCAAAACTCGAAAAATTGCAATTTTTACTTCCCGAGCGTAAGCAAAGGAAGTATTGTAATTGAGTCCGTCGGTCGACTCTCTACTTTTACGTTTTCTCGATCTTTCATGACCCCTAGAAGACGAAGAAATAGGTCTCCCATTTCCGTCTGTCTGTCCGTCTGTCCGTCTGTCCGTCTGTCCGTCTGTCCGTCCGTCTGTCCGTCTGTCCGTCTGTCCGTCCGTCTGTCCGTCTGTCCGTCTGTTGTCCCGGATTTTTATTAGACAGATAATCTCCGAAAGTACTCGACCGATTGTTGTGAAATTTTGTACTTATATTAAGAATATCATGTAGATGGTAAAACGCTAACCAAAATTTGTCTAATCATCCCCACCACTAATGCGATGACGTCACTTCAAAATTGTACATAGTAAATGGGTTTTCAATTGTATAAAATAACATAGTCCTACACATGTAGTTTACAACTCTGAATCGACTTTTCACCCGAAACGTCCAGATTTTTGGAAAAAAAATCAAAATTATAAAACAATATTTTGAAATTTAATTTTTAATCTGCTAACCAGAATGCTTTGAAATGTTGCAGATGTTTTAAGGCTATAAAGAGCATCATAAATCTTTAGTCAAAAAATATTTACTTATCCCCTCCAAAAACTTGATGACGTCAGCTTAAAAGTTCGTGGAATAAATCATATCTAAAATGTACAAAATATGATGAGTCTGTACTTGTGATCTATCACTCCATTCATATTTTTTGGATTTGCATATACAGGGTGACTCAAAAAAATTAATGAATGCGTAAATATATTTTATTGATTTAATCAGGAACTACAAAACCGAATGCTCTGAAATCTTGCAGATGTTTTAAGGCTATAAAGAGCATCATAAATCTTTACTCAAAAAATATTTGCTTATCCCCTCCAAAAACTTGATGACGTCAGCTCAAAAGTTTGTGGAATAAATCATATCTAAAATGTACAAAATATGATGAGTCCGTACTTGTGATCTATCACTCCATTCATATTTTTTGGATTTCTATATACAGGGTGACTCCAAAAAATTAATGAATGCGTGAATATATTTTATTGAGTTAATCAAGAACTACAAAACCGAATGCTTTGAAATCTTGCAGATATTTTAAGGTTATAAAGAGCATCATAAATCTTTAGTCAGAATATAGTTGGTTATCCCCTCCAAAAACTTGTTGACGTCAGCTCAAAAGTTTGCCGAATAAATCCTATCTAGAATATACAAAATATGATGAGTCTGTACTTGTAATTTATCATTCCATTCATATTTTTTGAATTTGCATATACCGGGTAACTAAAAAAAAAATATATGAAATCTACTGCGAAAAAAAACACAATAGGCATGCAGTCGTCACGTTTCCAACAGCGAGGGAAGTACTGGCTAAACTCTTTAGACCAATTTTTTGATTTATATTTTAGATTTTACAATTTTCAATATTTCAATATTTCGATCTTTCAGGAACCATCCTTTATTCTTTATCGGTCCTTTTGTGGGTTTTAATTTTTTTTAGGATTTTTCTACCCTTTTTTGTATCGCTTTTTTAGTCTCCTTGTTATCGTTCTTTTTTTTTTATTATTTTTGGCACTTTTTTGTGTATTTTTGTAGTTTTTACTTCCCGAGCGTAAGCAAAGGAAGTATTGTAATCGAGTCCGTCGGCCGACTCTCTACTTTTACGTTTTCTCGATCTTTCATGACCCCTAGAAGACGAAGAAATAGGTCTCCCATTTCCGTCTGTCTGTCCGTCTGTCCGTCCGTCTGTCCGTCTGTCCGTCTGTCCGTCCGTCTGTCCGTCTGTCCGTCCGTCTGTCCGTCTGTCCGTCTGTTGTCCCGGATTTTTATTAGACAGATAATCTCCGAAAGTACTCGACCGATTGTTGTGAAATTTTGTACTTATATTAAGAATATCATGTAGATGGTAAAACGCTAACCAAAATTTGTCTAATCATCCCCACCACTAATGCGATGACGTCACTTCAAAATTGTACATAGTAAATGGGTTTTCAATTGTACAAAATAACATAGTCCTACACATGTAGTTTACAACTCTGAATCGACTTTTCACCCGAAACGTCCAGATTTTTGGAAAAAAAATCAAAATTATAAAACAACATTTTGAAATTTAATTTTTAATCTGCTAACCAGAATGCTTTGAAATGTTGCAGATGTTTTAAGGCTATAAAGAGCATCATAAATCTTTAGTCAAAAAATATTTGCTTATCCCCTCCAAAAACTTGATGACGTCAGCTCAAAAGTTTGTGGAATAAATCATATCTAAAATGTACAAAATATGATGAGTCTGTACTTGTGATCTATCACTCCATTAATATTTTTTGGATTTGCATATACAGGGTGACTCAAAAAAATTAATGAATGCGTAAATATATTTTACTGATTTACTCAGAAACTACAAAACCGAATGCTTTGAAATCTTGCAGATGTTTTAAGGTTATAAAGAGCATAATAAATGTTTAGTCAAAATATATTTGCTTATCCCCTCCAAAAAATTGATGACGTCAGCTCGAAAGTTTGCCGAATAAATCCTATCTAAACTGTAAAAATATGATGAGTCTGTACTTGTAATTTATCACTCCATTCATATTTTTTGGATTTGCATATACAGGGTGACTAAAAAAAATTAATGAATGCGTAAATATATTTTATTGATTTAATCAGGAACTACAAAACCGAATGCTCTGAAATCTTGCAGATGTTTTAAGGTCATAAAGAGCATAATAAATGTTTAGTCAAAATATATTTGCTTATCCCCTCCTAAAACTTGATGACGTCAGCTCGAAAGTTTGCCGAATAAATCATATCTAAAATGTACAAAATATGATCAGTCTGTACTTGTGATCTATCACTCCATCCATATTTTTTGGATTTGCATATATAGGGTGATTCAAAAAAATTAATGAAAGCGTAAATTTATTTTACTGATTTACTCAGGAACTACAAAACCGAATGCTTTGAAATCTTGCAGATGTTTTAAGGTTATAAAGAGCATAATAAATGTTTAGTCAAAATACATTTGCTTATCCCCTCCAAAAAATTGATGACGTCAGCTCAAAAGTTTGCCGAATAAATCCTATCTAAACTGTACAAAATATGATGAGTCTGTACTTGTAATTTATCACTCCATTCATATTTTTAGGATTTGCATATACAGGGTGACTCAAAAAAATTAATGAATGCGTAAATTAATTTTATTGATTTACTCAGGAACTATAAAACCGAATTCTTTGAAATCCACTGCGAAAAAAAAACATAATAGGCATGCAGTCGTCACGTTTCCGACAGCGAGGGAAGTACTGTCTAAACTCTTTAGACCAATTTTTTGTCACTGGTTTTGTCGCCTTTCTTTTTTTGAGGTTTTTTTTTTGATAAATTTTGGTCTTTTTTCTGCTGATTTCTTTATCTTTTAACTGTCTTTTTTGACCTCACCGATCCTTGTATTGCATCGATTTTTTTTGTCACCTTCTATTGTTGATCTTTTTAGTCGCTTTTTTAACCTCCTTTTTTATCGACATCTGTTAGTGTTATTTTTATTTTTATCCCTCTTTTTGTGTTTCTTGATAACCATTTTTTGCCTGTTTTTCTGGAGTCCTTGTTTTATTACCTTTTTCCGATCCCCTTTTTTAATCGCCTTTTTTGTTACCTTTTTTTGTCACTTTTTTGACCCCCATGTTTTATCGTTCATTTTGCCACCATTTTGTGTCACTTTTTGTTTCCTTTTTCAGAGTATTTTTCTTTCTCTTGTTGTCATTTTTATCGATTTTATTGGTTGGATTTCGCGTGTTGCTTTTTTACTCCGTTTTATGGCCTTTATGGTCTATTTTACTGCCATTTTGTGTCACTTTTTATTTCCATTTTATAGCTTTTGGATCTCTTTTTATTCCTTTTTACCGCTTTTTTCCTTTTTTGAGTCTCCTTTTTATATACCTATTTTCTTGTTTTTAATTTCTTGTAAAGAAACAAGTATTTTGCAGTTAAGCTCCGCCCCCTTGGCTCACGGCGAATAAAAAAAATCACCACAATTGAGACGGGGTGGGTGGGCGGGGTTTATATTTTGCCTTTTCTTCTTAGTGTACATAGTATTTATTCTTTGAACAACACGATACTAAAAAACAGCTTTTTAATTTTTCGTAAAGAAATAAGTATTTTGCAGTTAAGCTCCCTCCCCTTGATTCACGGCGAATAAAAAAAATCATCAGAACTGAGATTGGGTGGGTGGGTGGGGCTTATATTTTGCCTTTTTTTCTTAATATACATATAGCCATCTTTTCACAAAAAACATAGGACATGGTTAAAATGGCACATTCTTGCAAGGAATTATGAATTTTGCAATTATGGGGCGGAGCCTAATTGCAAAATCGATGTTTCCTTATACAAATTTTCCATTTTGAACATTTTAAATTTTATGTTGTGAAAAGAAGTCTAAAAAGGTAAAATGTAAGCCCGCCCACCCGCAATTATGATGATTTTTTTATTCGCCGTGAACCAAGAGGGCGGAGTTTAACTGCAAAATTCTTATTTCTTTACAAGAAATTATAAACATGTTTTTTGAGTATCGTATTGTTCAAAGAATACTATATACATTAAGAAAATTGTGATGAATTTTTTTGTTTTTAGAAACTTAAGACTCGTTTAAAATGGTAAATTTTTGTAAGTAAATACGGGTTTTGCAATTAGGCTCCGCCCCTAGGTTTGTCAACGAATGAAAACTTCATTACTTTTTAAATCAGGGCAAGAATTGGTATTCTTTGAAGAACACGATACTCAAAAGCATGCCTTACGTGGTAATTTATACGACAGGCCACAAGTAGCCATCACTATCACAACAAGGCGGCAAAACTCACAAAATTGCAACGCCAACTTGATGGACGATTTTTGTTGTTATTTAAAAATGTATAAAATTTATTCATTAGACTGAATTATATACTTGTACAAAAATGTCTACGCCAAATGCAGTGGAAAGTAAGTTAATTAAAATTTTAGTAATGCTCTGATTGTCTCTAGTAGATTTTTTGTAATGCGCGACACACACTTTGTTTAGTGGCACTCAAATGGCAACGTTAACATCTGATGAACGAAATTTGTTTTGACATGAGCTTCAGCCCATGGTAGAAGGAGACATGGTATAGGCATACGCATCGGGTGTGACGTCAAGTGGGGTGAAATTAGCGCGAAATTTAAAATACAATTCGTTATCTGACAACTAATTGACGTATTGGACAGAGCAATGACAACTCAAGCTGAAATTCCCTAGACTTCCCTAGCGAAGCTCACAAGAGTCACAAGGTCGTTGATGCCACCTAACGTCACAAATGGATGCGCAGACCATTTTTAAATTGGTACATCGGATGCCTATACCATGTCTCCTTCTACCATGCTTCAGCCTACTTTACGTTCGAACAATTTTTCTGGTTTTTATTTATTTTACGTGAGAATTTGTTGTTTCTTTGAACATTACGTCGGAATTGTTGGAAATCTAATTAATCGTAATTGCCACGTACTCACTGGGCATATGCCTCGAGCACTCCATCATCACAACGAGGCGGCAAAATTCTCGAAATTGCAAAGCCAACTTAATCCACAATCTTTTATTATCACCTTACACTAAAAATGACTAAAACTTCGTTTAAGAAAGTATAAAATTTATTAATTACACTAATCAACGGTTCGACAATCACATATTCATACAATGTAAGTCAATTATGGCAACGAAAGCGTATTATTTTCGGCAAATTCGTTGTTTCCATTTTGTATAGCCACCTCTGGAAGACATCTACAGTTTGGGATTCCATAGCATACCTTCCACTTTCCGTTTTCGTTCGTTCCACAAACATGTTTAAAAACACAGCCTATTGGTTTATGCGTTTTGAACAGTTTTATCAGCTCCTCTAACGACATTCCTTGTGTGATTTCATCAAGCGGTCGGAGTGTTACCCACCAGAAGCAATTATTTCTAAATGAAAATGACGATGACGACTTTCGTCGCTGGGGTGTCACGTGGGTCACTTGTAATGACGGATGGCGGGTTATTTCAAACATTGTTTTTACCCCCTGGATTATCTGCTTGCGTGTTTCGTCATCTGGTCGCGGTGGACATGGCACGTAGGATAAATCTGAAAATTATATACAGTGTGTTTTAAGTATTATGTTAGAAAAAGATACACGAACCCAAAACCATTTTACAAATTTTTGTGACCGCTGCAAACTATGTGTTTCGTACTCGACTTAAAAACTTCGAATGATCATGTGTAAACACCATAAGCCATGTGGAAACACGTGAAAGCGAGTTTGCGCACTAGTCGCCACATACAAACCATACAGCATTCTGATTGGATAAATTCGTGCTCACGTGACACTATATTGTTGGTTGCCTATATGAAATTACCACGAGCATAGTGAAGCGGCAAATTTACCCAATTTGACGCACGATCTTTTATAATTAGGAATCACGTTATACTTAATAAAACACATTGTAAAACTTGAGTATTATTTATATTAGTATAAAAATATTTGGCATATTCATTTTTAAATTTAAAACTAAAAATCAAACAATTATGTTTCTGACGCTACGTCTGCAAACAGGTTATTAATTTCATCTACTTCATTGCTTCCAACTTGTGTAGATTTTTCTGGGAAACATCCACATTTTCGTATTCCATAGCGTACTTTCCATTTTCCCCTTTCTTCGCTTCCCATCACTTCCAAAAAATCACAACGTGGTGGTTTGTATGTTTCAAAAACTTGTATCATCTGTTCGAACGACACTTTCTGTGGAATTTCACCACCTTCTTGGAATGTGACGCACCAACAACAGGTATATTTACTTGGTGGGTCTTTGCGAGAAGGTTTCACTTTTTTCACTAGTAATTTTGGGGAACCGGTTACTTCAAATATTCTTTTTACCCTCTGTATTGTCTCCTCGCGTTGTTGGTCAGTTATTCGCCACGGACATGGCACGTTGGACACATCTAAAAAATATATACAGTGTGTTTCAAGTATTAGTAGTAAAAAATCTACGAACCTATAACCATTTTAGCACCTTTTCGCAAACTTCGTGTTTGTTGTTAGTTAAAATAAAAACAACTGAGCGAGGACCACGTGGAAACGAGCGACGATGAGTCTGCGCAAGAGTTTTCACAGACGACCACGCAGACGACGTTCTGATTGGATAAATCGTTGCTGTAATTCTAAAGTTGCACTTCTCAACGGAAGATGGCGCGTCAAATATCAAAATAATTGCAGCCTAGAAATAAAAAAAACAAAATATACATTCAAACATGTCGATCAGATCATTTTAGAGAATAAATGCTTTACTGAGACTCAAAAGAAAATTCCGGTACTTTAATCCTTCTTTGACCGAATTTCTTAGAAGGTCGTCGTTGTAATTACTCAGGTGGCTTTACCTGGTTAAAATTCTGAAAATTTGCGGTAAATCCGCTATTGTTATCTTCGTGTTAGGTACCTGGGTAGTTAGACCCTTTCTCTGGTATATATTTTTAAATAATAGAACCATGAAACCCGGTTTATCCCTTTCTATGAGTTTGTCTCCCTGAGCGTTTACATCCGATGAATGATTTTTTTCGATCGACTTAAATAACCTCGTGGTTTGAAAAAAATCCAGTTCTAGACTATTTTTGTCAAAATTTGGTGAATGTTTTCATTTATTTGACCCATTTTTCGTTCGCCCCCCTAAATATCGTACATCAAGTGGGCAATTATTGATTATATGCTTCCCTCGGACTCAAGTAATCATTAATCAATAATCACAACGAAGCGGCAAATTTCACGAAATTGCAAAGCCGACTTGACCTACGATCTTTGGAGATTTAAAAGACAATTATACAAGGTATAAATTTATTAAACTAAATGAGTGTCTACATAAAAAACGTGTATTTGCATTTTCAATTTGAAAGGCGATTTTCGCCAATTATTGCAACGTAAATCCTGAAAACAAATTACTAATTTCGCGCATTTTCCTACGTTGCATGTGAAAAGGATTGTCTGCGAAGCATTCACAGTCGCGTATTCCATAACTGGTGTGCCATAGTTGTCCCTCTAGTGGGACTGCAGCGTATAATTCACAATTTGGTGGTTGATACATTTTGAACATTTCTTTCATCTGGTCGCATGATAGATTTTCTTGTGCTATATCATCACGTATGTTGAATAGGATATTCCAGAAACAGGTGCTTTCAAATCTTCTATTTTCCCGACTTGGTAATTTACGATTACTTGACACTCTAATCACTACTAATGTCGGAAAGCAGGCTTGAAATATTCTTGTTACTTGATCTCTTATTATGTCTCGGCTTTCTAGGGGAAGTTCTCGATCAAAGCATGGCACGTGGAATTCACCTAGAAAAATATACAATGCGCTTCTGATATTATTTTAAAAAATATTCACGAACCTTGATCTGTCTCCATAATTCCGTAGTCGCACAACGTATCGCACAATAACAACCAGTATACTATTAGTAAAGACCAGTGAATGACCGTGCGGAAAAGAATAAAGGCATAGAAATCAGAGAACTGTACAAGAGGAGATTTTTCTATGGATAACAAGTGTGTAAACCAAAGCCTACTACGTGATGGCCAACTATGATATGGAATGACAGCGAACGAATAGGGGTATTTGATTGGTTCTGCTAACCCCAATAATTCTTTGATAACTAGCGCCATCTACCGTAATGTCCTTTAACGAAACAGAGGTAAAGTTCAACTTTTTAATTAATCAAAGAAGTCGTAGTTTTTATTGAAATTAAAACCCGCATTAAAAAGGCACCACTGAAACCGAAAATACTGATAACAATACCTAATATAATAAGTTTGTTAATTAGAAATATAATTTTTTAAAGCCATATATCTATATTTTTAAATTGAAAAAAACAATGTAAATATGCGCATATATATGCAGAGAAATTTCGCATTATATGCAAAAAATTGCCAAAATATGCAAGAAAAATTACATTGTTTACACATTAATATTTTATTTGAATCATTTCTTATAACACTTATAGCATAGAGAATACATAGTTGGACTTAAACTACACATTTACAGATTAAAACTAACTTGGCCACTTTATTGACTAACTAGTTACTCTCTTGAAAAATATTATTATTTACATTTATTGTGATATGTTTTAAGATCCATATTTGTGTGGAAGAATTTATCATTTTCAACATGTTTTAAGTATCTTGTTGTGAAAAGATGGCTGTGTAAATTAAGAAAAAACAGGCAAAATATAAGCCCCGCCCACCCACCCTATCTCAATTCTGATGATTCTTTGTATTCGTCGTAAGCTGAGAGGCGGAGATTAATTGTAAAATCCTTATTTTTCTACGAGAAATTATCATCTGAAATATGTTCTCAAGTGATCGTATTGTTCAAAGAAAACTATGTATACATATTAAGAGAAAAACAAAGCCAAATATTTGGTTCCACCCATACCCGCCCCAATCTCAATTCTCAATTGTGGTGAATTTTTCATTCGTTGTCAGATAGAGGGGCGGGGTTTAATTCCAAAATCCGGATTTATCTACAGATATTAACAATTTTGAACATGTTTCTCCGGCTGCGGCTCGAAAACCAACAAGTCGTGTCTTACTTGGATGATAAATATTTTTTGAATTTTTTTCGTGAATTGAGAAAGACCACTGAAACATAACTAATACTCAGCGCCCTCAAAGGAGTGACCTGACGCAACTCAGGTCATGTTAGATCAGATCCTAGAGATATTTTTTAATTGTACAATGTTTCGAGTTTTCAATTTTAAATTTTTTAAAATTTTGATTTATTCAGTCTTTTAATTTCCAATTTTTCGATTTTACAGTTAGCTCGATTTGTCAATTTAGAGATCGTTTAGTCAGATTTTGGATTTTCCAGTTACTCGATTTTTAATATTTCTATTTTCAAATTTTCCATTTGTGATTTTTTGTTACTTCAATTTATCGACTTTACAGTTTTCCGATTTTAGGTTTTCTAGTCTTCAATCTTTAATTTTCCTATTCTACATTTTTTGGAATTTTTTATTTTCCGATTTTGTAATTTTTCGGTCTCTCAGATTTTTGATTTGCAATTTTTCGATATTTCAATTTCGCACTTCCTCATATTCATACATATTCCACAAGCTAATTTCTTGTAGAAAAATACGAACTCTGCATTTAAGCTCCACCCCCCGTCTCACGACGAATAAAAAAATTAATCACAATTGAGATGGGGCCCGTGGGTAGGGTTATCCTTTGATTTTTTTTTCGTAATATACCAGTCTTCTTTCTACAGTAAAATACTTAAAATATCAAAGAGTGAATTTGAAATTAGAATCACGTTTTAAGTATCGTGTTTTTGAAAAAAAAACGACTTACATTAAGAAAAAGATGTCAATGATTAAGCCTCACCCACCCACCCTATCTCAATTCTGATGAATTTTTCATTTGATGTCAGACTGAGGGGTGGGGCTTAACTGCACAATCCATATTTCTCTACAAAATAGTAAAGATTTTTCAATTTTGCACTTCGTAATTTTTTCTTTAACATATTTCACATGGTAATTTCTTGTAGAAAAATATGAACTCTGCATTTAAGCTCCGCCCTCCGTCTCACAACGAATAAAAAAATAGTCGGAATTGAGATGGGGCGGGTGGGTGGGGCTTATCCTTTGATTTTTTTTTCTTCTTTCAACAGTAAAATACTTAAAATATCAAAGAGTGAATTTGAAATTAGAATTACATTTTAAGTATCGTCTTTTTGAAAAAAAAAAAAAACTACTTACATTAAGAAAAAGATGTCAATGATTAAACCCCACCCACCCACCCTATCTCAATTCAGATGAATTTTTCATTTGATGTCAGACTGAGGGGCGGAGCTTAACTGCATAATCCATACTTCTCTACAAAACAGTAAACATTTTTCAATTTTGCACTTCCTCATTTTTTTTTAAACATATTTCACATACTAATTTCTTGTAGAAAAATATGAACTCTGCATTTAAGCTCCGCCTTCCGTCTCACAACGAATAAAAAAATTAATCGCAATTGAGATGGGGCAGGTGGGTGGGGCTTATCCATTGATTTTTTTTTCTTCTTTCGACAGTAAAATACTTAAAATATCAAAGAATGAATTTGAAATTAGAATTACGTTTTAAGTATCGTGTTTTTGAAAAAAAAAAAACTACTTACATTAAGAAAAAGTTGTCAATGATTAAGCCCCACCCACCCACCCTATCTCAATTCTGATGAATTTTTCATTTGATGTCAGACTGAGGGGCAGGGCTTAACTGCACAATCCATAATTTCCTACGAAATAGAAAGATTTTTCAATTTTGCACTTCCTCATCTTTTTTTAAACTAATTTCATATACTATTTTCTTGTAGAAAAATATGAACTCTGCATTTAAGTTCCGCCCTCCGTCTCACAACGAATAAAAAAATTAATCAGAATTGAGATGGGGCGGGTGGGTGGGGCATATCCTTTGATTTCTTTTTTTCGTAGTATACTAGTCTTCTTTCTACAGTAAAATACTTAAAATATCAAAGAGTGAATTTGAGATTAGAATTATGTTTTAAGTATCGTGTTTTAAAGAAAAAACTACACACATTAAGCAAAATATGTCAATGATTAAGAATAAAAAAAATCCTCACAATTGAGTTGAGGTGGGTGGGCGGGGTCTATATTTTGTCTTTCCCTTCTTAATGTACATAGTATTCCTCGAACAACACGATTTCAAAAACATGTTCTTAATTTCTTGTAAAGAAATAAGTATTTTGCAGCCAAGCTCCGCCCCCTTGGTTCACGATGAATAAAAAAAATCATCACAATTGAGGTAGGGCGGGTGGGCGGGCTTCCATTTTACTTGTTTTAATATGTGTAGACTTCTTTTCATAACATGATACTTAAAACATGTTTAAAATGGTAAATTTGTATAGGGAAACATTGATTTTGCAATTACGCTCCACCCCTCGGTCTGACAACAAATGAAAAGTTCATCACGGTTGAGATCGAGACGGATGAGTGGGGCTTCTCTTTTGGTTTTCTTTTTTAATTAATAGACATTTAGTTTTCTTTGTATAACACGATTTCATAAGAACATATATCACATGGTAATTTGTCGTAAAAAATACGGGTTTTACAATTAAGCTCCATCCCACGGCTTACGACGAATTAAAAAAAATCATGAGAATTGAGATAGGGTGGGTGGGCGGGGCTTATATTTTGCCGAATTTTCTTAATATCACAGCTATCTTTCGACAACAACAAACTTAAAACATGGTTAAAATAGATTTCCTTATACAAAGTTTCCATTTTAAGCATGTTTTTAGTTTCATGTTGTGAAAAGAAGTCCACACGTATTGAAACAAAAAGGCATAATGTAAGCCGCCCACCTGCCCTATCTCGATTGTGATTTTTTTTTTTATTTCCCGTAAACCAAGGGGGGGAGCTTAACTGCAAAATTCTTATTTCGTTACATGGATTTAAAAACATGGATTTTACAATTACGCTCCGCCCCTAGCGAATCAAAACTTCATTACTATTTAGATCGGGGCAGGTATGGGTGGGGCTTAAACTTTGGCTGTAATTTTTTCTTAATGTAAATAGTATTCTTTGAACAACACGATACTCAAAACCATGTTTTTAATTTCTTTTAAAGAAATAAGTAATATTTTGCAGATAAACTCTGTTCACTTGGTTCACGGCGAATAAAAAAAAATCATCACAGTTGAGACAGGGCGGGTGGGCGGGCTTACATTTTGCCTTGTTCTTTTAATATGTGTAGACTTCTTTTCACAACATTGAACTTAAAACACGTCGATTAAATCATTTTAGAGAATAAATGCTCTATTGAAACATAAAAGAAAATTTCGGGACTTTTAATCCTTGTTTGACTGAATTTCTTATTAGAAGGTCGTCGTTGTAATTAGTTCGGCGTCTCTACCTGTTTAAAATTCTGACAATTTGCCGTAAATCCTCTATTGTTATTTCGTGTTAGGTACCTGGGTTGTTAGACCCTTGATTAGGTATATTGTATGTCCTCCACGTTGCCTGTATTTATTATTATTGCTTTTTTTACATAATAGGACCATGAAATCTGGTTTATCGCTTTGTATGAGTTGTCTCGCTGAGCGTTTACATCCGATGAATGATTTTTTTCGATCGACTTAAATAACCTTGTAATTTGAAAAAAAATCCGGTTCTAGACAATTCTTTGTCAAAATTTGGGGAATGTTTTCATTTATTTAACCCATTTTTCGTTCGCCCCCCTAAATATCGTACATCAAGTGGCCAATTATTGATTATATTTTTCCCTGGGACTCAAGTAATCATTAACCAATAATCACAACGAAGCGGCAAATTTCAAGAAATTGCAAAGCCGACTTGACCTACGATCTTTGGAGATTTAAAAGACAATTATACAAGGTATAAATTTATTAAACTAAATGAGTGTCTACATAAAAAACGTGTATGTGCATTTTCAATTTGAAAGGCGATTTTCGCCAATTATTGCAACGTAAATCCTGAAAACAAATTACTAATTTCGCGCATTTTCCTACGTTGCATGAGAAAAGGATTGTATGCGAAGCATTCACAGTCGCGTATTCCATAACGGGTGTGCCATAGTTGTCCC